AGGTCCAGCAACTCCTAACTGGCAGCTTGAGTTAAGCATGGAGAAGAGCCTGGCAGGATGCTCTGCTTAGCAAAACAAATTAAAACGCATGCTGCCCTGTGTTGGGTTCTTCTTAGGGCAAGTTGAGTTACAGCACGTTCACTAACCCAAGCGAGATACAATTGTCTCCATTGCAGCCCTACCCTACATCAGTGGCAAGCAGGTATAGCTGCCGTGGCAGCAGAAACACTAGTGACACATGCGGTCACAGCTGTTAAAATGAAGGTGGAATTATTCCTAAGAAAAGCTGTTGTAGGGTGGTAAGCGGCCTGGATGCCGCTGCAGACAAGCGAAAATCTAAGGTAGAGATTTCCTTTGCTTATGTAGCATCCACAGAGGCAGAATGGTTTCTGCAGTACCAAATATGTCAGGACAGATGTTAAAATTTGTCAAAGCAGTAGTACTGCTTCATTTTTGTGTTTAATTAGCTGCAATTAACCATGTAGAGTTAAACTGGGCATGTATTTTTTTTAAGCAACTCAGGCTGGGTAGTGCAGTTTCCTGGCATGCATCCTGTTCTAGCAGTAAGGTTCAGCATGTCTGCAACAAAAAGGACAAGAATGACTGAACAGAGTAGGGAAGTAGTAATTGTTCTCCTTACTTGCAGCAGCCATTAAAAGTAATTACAATTTGGCAATAGTGGTTTTCAGATATAAACAGTCGGTGTCTCAGATGCTCATTGGGAGTGAAAGTTAACAAAAATGAAACACCTGTTCATACATCAGTGCTGCTGCAGTTTAGCAGCATGCAGCATTCCTGAAGCTGTTAAATATATGCGTTATGCCAACAAAAATTTGGCCACGTTTACTTAAGGCCTGAATAAATATGGCCAATCTCTGACAAAAATCTGATTAAGGTCTTACTTGGGGTTAATAGGACTGACAGCAAGAAGAGCCATTTATAAGAAATCTAAACATAACAAGTAATGTAAGGTAAATAGCTATCATTGATGCAAAATGGAATTTTTAAAGAAAAATCCTGTGTTCTGACTAGCAGAATGTATTGATTTATTCATATGGTTTCCAGTCCTATGAATGGAGCTGCTCCCATGAATGGCTGGGACACAAAAGGCAAAGTCAGTGAGTTGAGCTAATGCAAGACTTTAGTGGCCACTCTTCTCACAGGCTGTAACCCACTAAGGCCCAATCTGCAACCTGACTCAGTCTGGCTGGTCCTGAGGATCTGAAGAAGAGTATTTTGAGCAGCAAAAAAACATGTGCAGGAGTTTTGCAGTTCAAGTCCTTTAGCTGTATTTTCCTCTTTTCTGGTTAAACTTACAGAAAACATAAAATAGGAAGTTGTATTTGTATTTCCTCAGACTGTGAAAAGTAGAGGCTGAATTATAAATTATCTCAAGACATGTTTGGGCTTTTCTGTTTACGAGAAATTTAGAAGACTTGTGAAAAAAATCACCGAAGGTTTCTAGGATGAAGTAAAAGATTGCTGGCTCTGTGGCACTTCGGTGGATGCTCATCAGACTATGTTTGCACAGGAAAAAACACACCAAGGTTTATGACACAAGTGACTTCAGACAGATGTTGCTGCTTGCAATCTTCACCCTGCTGCCTGCAGTAGCCTCTCCTTCCCAAGCAGTGCTCGCACAGGGCATGGAGACCTGCACCATGGCTTGCAGTTGCTAGCACACTTCCTGGAAGGAGTTTTGTCAAGAGTCTCCCTTCTTATGGAGCACTGTAGTTTTCAGAACTCCACGTTTATTTGGTTTTTGTTCCACAAAGTGGGAAAAATCAACTATCTCTCTAATCCAATTTAGGGAGCAACCACAGAGACGGAAAAAGATAAAGAATCTCCTCCCACTTCTAAGCAGAAATAACCTGTACATAAACTGTTACCCAAGGGTTCAAAGTCTACACAAAATGCTTTGTTCAGGGTGAGAATGAAGGGTATAATCCAGGCCTAAACCTATCCCCTGAGATGAAACCAGGGTAATGGAACCAACAGACAAGGATCAGCGTGTTACAATTTAGACAGGATTTTAGAATTGGCTCCTGCTCCAAAATGGGCAAATCTGAATTTCCCAAACATCCCAAATACTGAAACACCCCAATTCATGCTCCAAATCAGAATGATTGCATGGTTGTACCTGCACAGCTGACCAGTAGTACATAAAGAAGCATTCTATAAACAACCAAATCCATAATCAATAAGTTATAATATTTTTTATTCATGTTAGAATTTCTATCAGTGTTTAAACATTAATATTTGGAGAGTTTGTACAATTTCCATTCAAAGTTTAAAATGAGAACCACACTAGATCACAAATGGCAACTAAAACACAGTTCAGAATCGGATGAATATTCACACTCTCTTTCTCTCTTAACACTGTTAAACACTTTCTTTTCTGCCAGGGGGTTTACAAGGAAAAGTGTGCACCGTAATTGTATCTCAGCAGTGTTCCAAAACATTATGGTATCATCATTACATATAAACTCTTTAAAAATATACTTCTGTCAAAAGACTTGATGGCTACTATGTACACTACAAAAATAAATTTTCATATAAATAAATTATATGGCATAATTTTATCTTTGTAACTGAAATGACACAAACCCACTCCTACCGAAACAGGCAGGCAATGAGACCCAGTTTTGAGTATTTTTTTTCCTTTTAACTCCTTATGCTAAAAGCTACGACGAGTCCTTAATGTAAATGTTATATACTCTTTCCTATTTAACATTAGTAAGCACTCTATACAAATAAAAATCCATTAAACAGTAAAAACATAGCTGTAATAGTGTTTCCAATAGAAATAAAATCCCTGCATCTTGTTTGTTATAAACTGGCATGACAAATACTGTAAGAAAACATTCTTATGATACAAAAATATAAATATCACCCATGATTAAAAAAGTTAAAAAACAAAACCAAAACAAAGTAAATGTTGCCAGCCACTGAGTTCTCCCCTTGCCAATGTGACTATCAGAGAAGAAAGTCTACATTGTGCACGAAGCAGCAGGCAGCTCACCCACACACAGGCACGCAGGAGGACTCGGGCAGGGGTAGGTGGGAGACACGGCAGCTCGCCCTGGCCCCCTTCCCTCCCGAGAAAGAGGAGGGAGCGAGGCAGCCCGCGGTGGTGGTGTCGGTGTCAGTGGGAGCCCTGCCGACCTCTGACACGGAGCGCACACGCTTGGCGGTTGAAGGCAGCTTCCAATTAGTATCATACAGTTTTGTTGCAGAGTTTGTATGATCTGAGGTCGCTATGCGGCTAATGCTAAATGGGGCCCCTCGTCTTTTTGTCATTAAGAGTTTTCATGTTAGACAGTGAACTGGACCAATAGGCAGTTGCAACATTAACCCTTAGTGTGCATTGAAACAGTAGCTTATGTATCACCGGAATGACACCAGGCTCTCGCCACCTGCTCTTCGAGCGTTCACATTGGAAATCTGTAAACAAGTGCCTCATATCAAAGTGTTTTCAAGTGAGCAAAAAAGGCATGGAAATTTGTGCATTCTAATTATCCCCATTAGTTATGCTGGCAAGGTCTGTGGGCAAAGATAGACTCCCTGAAGCCACTGGAGAAAAACACTTTCCCATCAAAGAATTGGCCACTGCTGTTCAGGCATTGTACTTAAAGAAAAGCCCCACCACTGCTGTGTTTAGAAACTGAACACTGGTTGTGTGTGTTTGGCTCTGAATACACACCTGAACATCTACCTGCTCTAAAAAACAGCTTGGAGAAGGGCAGAAAAAAGATGAAGAAAGAGTAAGACAGAGATAATGAAAACTTCTGTTCTATTATTTTAAATTTAGGTTCTCCATTCTTAGGGTTTATTTCCAACTGGAACACAGACTGTAGTGTTTTTTCAGACCCTTCACCTGCAGCAATCCCCCTTTAGTTTAAAAATAGTAATACAAAAAGCTAAATTAGTTTCGCAAAGAGATCCCAGTTTAGCTGTTTTAATTAAAAGTGCCAATGCAGCATGGGAAAACACAAACAATAGAGAAAAGAACACCCCAGGCTTTACGTGTCATTACAGTCCTGGACCCATCAGAAAGTGAAAATAAGATTTTTTTTTTTTATCCTTCCATTTGATTTTTATCAGTTACTATTAACTTCCTTCCTGCCATGAAAATAAGGTGACCAAGATATTGCTTTCAATGCTGTAAGGACACAGCTGAGCTGTGGCTCACTGTCAAAAAACTCAATTATCCATCTTCTAATGCCACTCACAGTTAACAGTATCAATATCAAAATAAGGCATATACTCATTGAATCTCTATAACCACCAGCACCTCTCAATATCCAGCACCTTTGGAAGTGAAAAAACAATGGTTATAGTGTTTGCACTTACCTGGCACCTTTTGCAAAAAAAAAAAAAAAAAAAAAATCAAAGCACTACACGAACAGTAATTAAGCCTCACAACATTCCTGGGAGGTAGGTAAGTGTAATTATACCCATTTTACAGAATGAGAAACTGAGGCATGGGGCAGTTAAGTGACTTGACCAAAGTCATGTGAACCAAGTCATTGAGAGTGTGGGAAACTGAACCACAACCCCAAACCTCAACTCCCTGTCTTCTCTTCTATTTTAGTTGGGCCTTTGATGATGGCAGTCTATGGTGTATGTTGGTAAACACCAACACATTTTTCACTAGTGCCTACTAACAGGGAAAGCCAGACTCACATCAGCATCAGTGGGTTTATAAGCCCACTAAGTGTTACCTTACAGTAAAAGAGAAACTACAGTACACCAGGAACATACACACAAAAGCATGCACACGTCCAGATGCACGCATGGATACACACAGCAAAACAAAACCTGCACATAGCTAAATCTATTTAAGCCTCCCAGATTAACTTGCTTTTCTTCATATCTGCTTATTTTAAAACTTACCACGCATAGCGTGTTTGAAAGTTAACAGTAACATTTCATACTACCACAGGGTTGTGATACGCAAATTTAAAATATTTTAAACAGACATGTACCTTTTAAAAAAAAAAAAAAATCCTATTACATAAGCAATATTTGCATAGAATTATACAAGTAAATTATACATATTTAAGCAGCAGCAACTTATGCTGAAATTTAGAACTAGATTAAGCTTAGTTGTGGCACAGAGATCAATGTACGAAAAGTACAAAGCGCACACAATATTGTCCCCATTCTATTGCCCAGCGGCAAATGACTCCAGATTATACTACTTTACATTGTTCTTTTGTATATTACATATGTGTACATCTTTTAAATACTTAAAGAAATATTTAACAAAATAATACAATAGGTTACAGTAACAGTGAACTGTTGTCCTGATGCAGCATGTCCTTTTCTACAACTTCAAGCAGTTCTTCTCTTCAAGCAGTTCTGGAAATACAGTTTTCCATCTTTGGCCTCTTCTTTGCTTCAGTTATTACCCTTTACAAATAAAGAGAGAAGAGAAACAAACATTCATTAAAGTTCAAGAAAAACAAACAAATCACGCTAATCCAAAACTCATTTCATGATTTTTGTGGTTACAGTTAGCAGTCAGGAAACGTGGGCTCTGCTTTCATCTCAGTTATGAATTTCCAGGTAAGCTATACTGATGCCAATTAAAAAAATGCAGGTGCTTTAATTTCTGAGTTCCCAGCTTTACATACCTGCAACAAATTCAGTCAAAACTTCAAGGAGAAATACAGTAATTCAAATATTGCGCACAGTTAAGAATCATGTTACCATGCAGTTCAGCTTGAAAAAGCTGAGCCCAACTATTTCCTTATTCTGAGGATGCTATTGCTTGCCATATTTCTAGACTGTGAGGCTAAAGGCATTCACGCCTATTTGCACTTTGAGATGTTTGGAGATGTTTTATAAAGGAGAAGGTGATTTTATTACGAGTCATCAAAAAATTTCCATCAAAACTCTCCATGTGTGTGTGTGCACACACGCGTGTGCGTACATGTAAAATAGTTCTGCACCAAAATAAAATGGCTTGCTCTGGTCAAACTAGTGACTGTCACTGAAAAGCAAAGAGAGAAAACAGGGATACATGGCTAAGTAACTATTTTAACACTTCTTCTTTCCCCCAAAAGAGAAGAACAGAGCTAAAATAGTGAGAAATGTTTTTTCAGGCACAAGCCCCAGAAAGCTTTCAGGGTAAAAACTCAATTGGTTTCTCCCCTTCAAAGTATTCCCTGTAAAATTAATGGAAAATTCTCAAGAGAATCAACAGCTTTATCTTCCCCAAACATCTGCTAAAATATCCTGCCTGTTCTAAACAGCACTGTTTCCTGTAACATTCTCTTGCCAGCCCAAAGACAGACAATGATTTAGGTATCAAGGCTCACAAGTTCTTGGGTGTATCTATTGTTTCACAGGAACACATTAAATGCCCTGCTAGGTCGGCTCTACCTTATGCCCATCTTCCACACCCACTGCAGCTGCCCCTGGAAAGGGAGAGACTGGCCCAAGGACTCCTCCTTGGAGGTGTGAGTTCGCTGGCTGGGTCTCTGAATGCCCCCCCAAAGCGCAGGGGACACCCCACCACGCAGCAGTGCACTAGGCATGGTGGGGCCTTCCCACCTCTCACTCGGCCCTTCTTCCAGAGGGATTCAGTCCTCACTATGGACTTCAAATTCCTTCACAGGGTTTTATTCAAGAGAGGACAACTCCTAAAGTAGCTGGCAACTCTACGCTCTCTTAGGCAATGTAATTCTGTATGATGTTTTAGAACGTGCCCGATTCAGGGATCAGAAGACAGGACCCATCAACAGTAAATGCAGTTGCACAGCGTTGAAGACATCACACAACCTCTCTGCTGCATTCTCCTCATCTGGTAAGCTGGGATTGTATGATGTACTTAACTCACTTTGCAAGGCTCCTGGAAGCAGTTCATGTGTGAACCCACTACAGCTTCTCAGTGTCGGAAAGTACTACTTCATCCAACCTGATTTCTAGCGCAAAATGTACTGCATTCACGGTCAGCAGATTTAAGATTATCAGGGACCAGTAAGTAAACCTACCTGCAGGAGAGGTACCTCAGAGAAATTTTATCTTTCCCCTTTCTTTCGACCATACCACGGCCTGACACAGGCAAAGCTTGCAGCTACAGGAGACGGACTTACCTTACTGTGAGCTGTTGCCAGGTATCCTTTCCTCACATTCAACATCTTGCAGTTCTACAACTTCTACTTTAGAATCTCTTCTTTCACACCGCACATTAAAAGGCACATGAGGGTCCTCAAATGGCCCATGGTCAGCTTCATGGCACCCCTCGTAGGACGGAAAGCTCCCTCCCCGAGAGCTGTGGCTGTGCACCGCGGGGTGGACAGCGACAGTCACTGAAGCCGAGGCAGTCACAGTAGTGATGGGCTGGCAGTACGCTGGTCCTGCGGTGCCCACGGTGCCGAATGCCGGGCTTCTCAAGTTATGAGAACGAGCCCTGTGGCCCAAGCGATCCCTATTGCTAGGTCCTGAATGCCCTTCAGTAGAAATTTCAAAAGCGTCCCTGCGAGGGCGGTAAGGAGGTGGTCGCAGCCCTTCCCTCGCTTCCCGTTTGGGCTGTCTGCCCTGACGCCACGACTGCTGCGTGCCGGACTCTGAATTCGACTGTGATCTGGGACTCGACTGGTGCCTTGTCTCTGGCTGAACCACCTGAAAGAGAGATGCATGGGTATGCCTCTGACAGACCGCGGCAAACAAATACTGCGCTCGCTTGTATTTTATGCTGAGAACAATTATAATAATGCTGTGCTGGCTTTAACTCTACAAAGGTAATGCTCTGGAGTCTGATAATTTTTGATTCTTCCAGACAGTTTTTGTTTGAAGTTATTAAAACCTGGAAAGCACACCTTCAGAAAAACACAGGATGACAGCTGAAAACATTACTGTAAGCTTCCTACATACTGTTCCATCTTTTCAAAGGGACGAGTGACAAGCACTTGATCTTAACTCGCTCAACACGCAGAATTGCAGGCATTTGGAAAAGGCTCTATTCCATGCAGGGTACATAGAGAGGATGCTAGTAGGGTAGTTTGTATAGGCTGTAGGAATCTGTTTTCTGATTTCCGTAAAAAGCGTGAAGTGCAGCGGCCACATCAGTCAATAAACCGTGACCAACTTCAAATGTGGCTGTGCTTGTACCTATTTCTAGGCCTCTGCTGAACAAAAACAGATCCGCATTGCAGCTCAGCATGCAGCATCAGCAGGGGTAGGAGACAGAGCTTTTTCACTTTCCTTTGAAATTGCAGTTATGCCAGCCCAGTAGCAAGATGCAATGGGCCCAAGATTTGGTACAACTCTGAAACTGTTTTCTTCTGGCTCTATCAATCTTTCTCCCCAAAATGTGCTGTCAGAGAGAGGTATATGAGATGGTGATCCACAAGGAGCTGTGTGGAAGAGGTCTGGATCTTTTAATGTCTCCCCTTTCTCTCTCTTGTGGCTGGTGCCAATATGATGTAACAGCAATTACACATGTCAAAGACCTCTGTTTTAGTATCATCATTTTACCCCCAACTTGATTCTAAAGGAGAGGACAAGGAAAGCTTTCACTCTATACTTCCAAGTTTTGGCATAGTCACAAAGCACTATCAGCCAGAAATATGAAAGAACTTTCCACAAAAATAAATAGATTTAAATAAAAATACCCCAAACGCTCTTCTTGCCCTCCTACCAGTCAATATGGGAGCTACTTACAGAGGATCTCGCAAAGACAGGATTCTCAGTGGCTTCCACTATTACTTGATGGACTGGTGCCCCAGGGCCTTGGGTGGCCTCATACTGATGAAGCTCTTCACTGATGCCGGACACTGTGGTTTGAGAGCTGTACTCTGAATCAGAGGAATCTGACCCATTATTTGTGTGCCCGGGTGGCAGTGCAAACCTCACGATGCTGGGGGGTGGCTCAGGAGATGGTGTGGGCAATCTGTTTCGTCCATTGGATGGAGAAACCTGATAATGACAATGCATTCAGTAACATTCAGTTAGCGTTAAACACTTTTAATCATTAATGCTTGATGCAAATGTTCTTCTGCCAAATACACCCTGCCATGCCATGAGAACCTTAACACCAGTTTTCTGATGAACATTTATACTGAACTGAAAAAATTAATGAAAGAAAAAGAGGTACGATCTCCATATGTGGATATGTATGTAAACAGGATTACACAGATTCTGCTGGATATCATTGTCTCAGGAAGTGCATGTATGTGTGTGCGTGCATGCACTTGCACTTATAAAAATAATACATGGACTTACCTCCCGCTTCAGCACACATTAACAGTGATTTCATAAAATCACCTCAAATGTGTATGTGTAGTATGGTTCAGTGTCTATTTGCAAAGAGAGATAGACACAGACATAATAGCAACATATGTGGTAGTAACATACGAACATATGTATTGCTTGACTAAGGGACAGGTCATGTATACTGTTAGGAACAGAAGAGATTACATGCTGTTGTCAAAACTATTTTACTAATATTAAAAAAATACTTCTGAAATATTAATAGTACTGTTTACATACCCTGTGTTTTATTCTTATACACACACACACACATATATATATAGACATGTGAAGCATAGCACACTGATTCTACTAATAGGTGATAAAGATAGCCCTATGTAATGCAGTAACTGTTAACTATAGGGTAGGTAATGAATAATCAACAGCCAAACATAAACTGGGCATCTCTGAAACCTTTTTTGCTGGACTTGGGCTTTATACTGTAAAGTCATCAGTATCTAAGTGAAGCCTTCCACCCACTAAAAATGTTGCTTGAGCCAAGAGCATACCGCAGGGAGGGGCGACTGGACAGGGGGGACTTTCTGGCAGACCAGTCATGGTTACCAAGGTGTGGTCTGTGGACCACCACTGGTACATGTTGGTTCACACAGGCCTTCCTGGTGGTCTGCTCAGTTAAATATTTTGGGTAAAGGAACAGCCAGTGAGGTAGGAAAGAAGAAGGTGTGTGTACAAAACGAACTGTCTTCTGCAAAATATTGGGGAAAATCCTCCATTTACAAACTAGTCTGCATATCACACTATGCTTTTAAAAGCATAAATAATCCTACACTTGTATCAAGCTTGCTGATTGCAGCCCCTAAAACTATACTTAAAAAACCCCTTTAAAAATATAAGTAGATAACTAACTAAAGAACAAACAGCACTTTTAATAAAGTTTAAAAAAAAATGTAGAGCAAGAAACTTAAAAACTAAAAAAATCTGAGAGAATTTAAAAAATAAAGAGTTTCTAAAAAAAGGGGTGTGATCTGGCAGGCCAGGCATGCAGATACAGTACTATTTCTTCTGTTCACTATTAATTTTACTGACCTCAGGGTATGGTCCAAAGAATGAAAGAAGAACAGGAAGCAGCACCAATCCATTGAGAACTCCCAGAATGGTTAAGATTGCCAAAACAGCAAAGAAATACCTGAAGTAGGGTTTAAGGGTTTTGGGGGAGAGAATAGCCACAAATATTATGAGAAATAAGGGATTACAAATTGCTCCTACAAATGTTAAAATAATACATATACTAAATTAAATATTACTAACATTGTACTAAATAATTATATAACTTTCCATATATAGATGTAGGGGTTTTTACCTTTTGAATTAGAGAAGCTATATTCCACAACCCAAAGTGTTAGTTGATAAAGGAAAGAAAAAAATTACATTTGTTAATTTCCCAGAATCTGGAAGCATGTAATGTTATTTATGAATGTGTTACACAAACACAAAAATATGGAATGTGCAGTGAATAGCTGAATGGATTGAAAGCACAAATACAATGAAAAGGGGCCCCCATTAGTGAAAACCCAGCAGAAGCAAACAAATGAAGTGAAGGGTGTAGAATTTAAACAATTTAGCCTAGAAGGAAAAGAAGCCCTCTTCTCCCAGCAGCTAATCCACTGTGAAATGCTTCTGCATTTTACAGCAGAATCTCTAATTAAATCTCCAGTGTTATCAGGTAAGGGTTTCCCTTGCTGTTCATTAATCACAACTTTCCGTCTAGAATTCTGAGTTCCAGTTTTACCAAATAGCTCGAATTGCAATCTTTTTACAACACAGGAACCCGTTTTCTGCAAAGAAAATGCTGCCCATTCTATAGTAAGCTTCAGCATTGTACTGAGTAAGAACACTCCACAATGGCAGAGCTGCATTGCAGGCTAATCTTTTGTTGAACAATTTAGCATCTCTGAATACTCTTGTTTTGCGTCAGCCAATTCAAACATAAAGGCTGAAGTACTATGGAAGAAGAGGAAAGTGCACAAGTGGTTGTCCTTTCCCACCACTGAGGGCTAAGGTCTGGGATCCTTCATGAATACCAAGGTAAACCTGTCAGTAAAAGGAAAGCCTTGCTAGTTGGTATTCGGCACAGCTGGGGCTCAGACTAAACTTAAGGCTGCGTTGTAACTAATGATTTCAAGGACTCAGTCTTGGTAAATTCCTAGAGGAGAAGGCAAAGGAGAAGAACGAAGGGCAAGTTTGCTACTAATGGGTTTGCTGATTACATTGTCTAGCTGGCAACAAACTTTACTGCCTCCCTGCTTCCATATCTGATCAACTATATCAGACTCCTGTAAAACTACAAATATCCTGCTATTGTAAACATTTGGGAATTTCTGATCTGCATTAGCAAAAATCAGCAAGCCAATCTACTCTACTAACATAAACCACCAGAACTTTATACTGGGACAGAGATCAACAACAGGCATTAAAAACATTTGCATCTCATCCATCTAATGCTAGGATAAACAGGAGGATTATAGCTCTGACCACTTGGTGTATACAATGTCTGTTAATTTACTTAATCTTCCACATTGTTGGACTAATCTATTGCTTTCCGGAAGTTTGGGACCTTCTTCGCCCACTATAACAATGCTCAGGCTCCCATAGTTTATTTTATTTTATTTTTTAAACAAGGCAAACTGAAGTCAGATTGTGCTAGAAAAAGAGAAACTGATGGCCAAAAGAAGTAAAATAACCCAAGTTGAAAAGTTGAAAGGCTCACTTTATAAACTGAGAGAACATCCGATCCAAATTTGGTGTGAAGGGCGGCTATAATCTTCCATTTGCTATGACACAAAAATAAGCTTGCCAAAATCTTGTCTGTTAAGTAAGAAAGTAGCACACCAGATGTACCCCTGTAAATTTAGGTTAAATCTGTAAGTAACGTCTATGTCAAAGTATTCCAACCCTTATAAGATCAAGTCCTAAAAGAATAAATCCACCTTATTTCTTCGATATCAATAAAATAAAGTAAAAAATACTGACTGGGGAAAAAAATACAAATTCTATTTCAGGACGTGCAATATCTGTACAGTAATAATCCTCAAGTAGGTTTCATGAGGTCTGACTGCAAACTGCCTGCTTTCTTCAAATCTCTTACATACATAAACAAAAAATCTTGATGAGATTTAGCAGCCATTCTCTCAGTTCCTGCCTCTGACATTCTGTTGTTCTTGTTATTAAATGGATGTCAGCTAAGTCTAGTCATCTATCCAGCTTATGTCTACCTCAGTAGTTAAGTCATCTTTCAGGGCATTTTTATTTGGCCCAGTTCTACCTCAGTTCCATTTTAGGGCTTAGATTATTTCTTTTTTTTCATGCTGTAATTTGCTACAAAGAACCTGTGTTACTTCTAAGATTAGCCGTTTTGCAAAGTTCCACAGGTTGTTTGGAATAGAATAGGATCTGTTTCATTGCACTTCTCAAATTCCCCTCAACGAAAAACTTGCTTTCCTCTTATACTTGATGAATTCACATTCTTAATTAAATTCACAAGAAACAGTCTGCCTGTAGCTCTAAACAGAAGGGCCTTCAGGGTTTGCTTTACAAAATTTTAATATGAAGTTCTGTGCTCATACTTATGGTTCCCCAGCTCCCAAACAGGGCTTTTTTTTCCCCTCCTTTTCCTCTCCCTGTTATACATCGTTGTAAACCTCACATAACGATAGAAGGAGAAGGCCTGGAGAGAGTCACTTGCAGCACAGTCGCAGCATGTTTGTGGGTTCACATATCCTTTGCATGCAACTTGTTGTGCATACAAGAAGTCTGAAGGATCTAAAGGTTAAAGGTCAAACCCAGCTCATACTGGACAATCCTAGATGCTTTGAACGGACTCAAACCCCGAATTAGCAAACTTTGGTAAAGAGGGCCATTTCTGTGTTCTTTCATGCTGGGTGTCAGATTTTCCTGGAACAGATTTTAATACCAGCAATGGAAACTCTACCACGTCTAGCATGTAACAAGGAGTTAATAAAACAGAGGGAAAGCAGGACCATGACGTAAGCATGCTTGACACACCATGCATAGTAATAAAATTACAGATACACTGAAGTGACTAAAAATTAAAAGCATACTTATTTTTATTTTAAAAAGAAAGTCAAGACACACACAAATGCTTACCTGACAATAAAATCAAACTCTGATCCTGCGAGCATTAACACTCCAAGCAGAGTGGACACAGCCCCATCCAGCACCGGTGCAAACATGTGTTCCAATGCAAGGACAGCCCTATGGTTCCTGTCTCCTATGGCAGTTAAAAACGCCTGTAACACAGTTAAGTCCATTTCATTAGACGGATGCGTACAACCTTCCAAACAGCCTCACTCATAGCATGCACGGTTTTTCACCAGTTAATTACTGCAAACTACAGTTTATAAAAGTATCTCTATAGCTGGCTAACCTTCAAGAGAAGGCCCAATTCTGCAGTCATACCACATAGCTGCTGCTGAAGTCACACAACCACAGTAACCACTCATTACAGAGTCAGGCCATAGTAATAATTTTGGAAACAATGCCTGCTTGCATCAGTAGCCTTTGTCTCCAGCTTTGCTTATTTCCACCTGCAAATAATTCATTTCAATGTGAAAGCACTTCAGGTGTCAAAATTACAGGGCTACTCCTCTCACTCTCATAGGGCCACGGTTTCCATGACTTTTTTAACACTTCTATTTCACTCAAATGTTTTTGCAACTTTTACTACTTCAAAGCTAGCAGGCCTATACACACAAAATTGCCTTAGGAATAATGCTGAACATGGTAATGCCTGAGTAACAATATGACTAGTGAAATGTCTTTCTCCTTCCAACTCCTTAGTGAGCAAGCTATACCAAGAACACTCAAATGCTGTTCCATATGAATTTGTCTTCCCTGTGTACAACTTAATGGTTTAAGATGACAAGAACCTGGTTGATCTTCTTCTTGTGATTTATAAGAGCTCTCTCTTCCACAAATTCTCTACTGCCTATAAAGATATGAGCTCAAGCAGCTATCTTCCTCTTGGTCCTGGAATTTAAGTCTCTCTTCTCTAGCAGCTTATTTTCACTTGTCTGACAAATTTGGGGTGAAATCACACATTAAAAGGTTATTTGGTGGGACAAGCAGACCAAAAATGGGTACATGTGGAGTGAGATTCCCAACCCACACTTCCGCAGGTAGCCAAACCACGTATTATTAATCTAGTAGTCGATTAAAAGTGGTCTGTGGAACATTAATGTATCCAGGACATTTTACATTTCCATATGCATAAAGGGATAAAGAATCCCCCTCAGGGTAAAGGTAGCTGTCTATGAGATGACTCACATGAATGGGAGCTATGGGATCTGATCCACAAACATATTAACAAGTTATATAAAGATATGTATATGTGTGTAATTAAAGGATACGTAATAGAAGAGTCTACTATCAATTCAGAATTTATTTGCAGAATTAAAAAAGTGAGGTTACAATTCACAAGCAATAGCAGAGAACTGAGCCAGAAGTAGATTGTGAATCACTCTTATTAAACAAGTTCAATTAAGTTCTGTATCAGTAGTTCAGCATTGCGTTTTTTGTTTATGCAACCCTAGTTTGACTGTTTATATGCAGGAAGTTCTGCGAAGGTCAGTACTGCTTCTATCATTTGAGATCTACTAGGCATTCTTTTATTTAAAGCCTACATTTGAAAGTTTTTAACTCCAGAATCAATGTGAAAAAACCCGCAATTTTGAGTTTGCTTGGCATTTTACCTTCAGCCATGGGTGACTTTTACTTTAAAAAAAAAAAAAAAAAAAAAAGTCCTGTAAATTAGATTAGTTTCTTCTAATTTAGAAACAACTGTTTTGTCCTTTTTTATTTCAGTTTTCCTGTTTTAAATCTTCAATTCTAAGAAACTGTCATTTCTTTCTTCCTCTTGTACACCATTAGTTTCTGACACTTCCCAAACCATTCCAAATCCTAGCAAACAGGTTTACCTCCAAAAGCCTAACTATCCATAGCAGTAGGGGAAAAAAATGTCACCACTTCAGGGATCCAGCTGCTACTCTAACCTCACTCTACCTTCTCTACGATTTTTCTTAAAATTATTCTTTCCATCCGGCCACTTTATGTGCCTCAACTCTATACTTCATCTACAACATGTTCCCAGTATTTGGCCATCTCCAGTGTGCTAAGATCCCTGTTAGCTCTCCTCTCATTTCCACGGTCATCAAGTCCTCTTAGCAGTCTACCAGTCCTCCTTTTGAGTCTAAAAGCCCCGCTGCATTCCTCTCCAACATCAGCACCACTTTCCAGCCCCTTCCCTTCACTTCTTTTTGGATTGTGACCATACTAATATACTAGAGATTACAGCAGACTACAAGCACCTCCTCCCTGAAATTATATTCTATCGACCACTCATCCTTTACTACTTTTTAATACAGTAAAATCCAAATCCATGAAGACAATATATTCTTAAACTATTCTGAAATATCAGTTAGATAGCCTTATAGGAAAATGACTTATGCTGAGTGGGCAAAATGTTGCAAAGATCAGCGCTGACATTGTCAAATGTGAACACAGAAAAATAGGCCTTTACTCTATTCTTTGTCACCAAATAATGCAAGATGAGTTTTGCTTATCTTGAACACCCAGAACTGCCCCCTTGCAAGCGCACTGTCGTTTCTACTAATTTTGCACATCACGTTGACTAAACTGGCTGAGTAGGTGCACTCTGTATTTGGACACTTAACCTTGAAAATGTTGAAAATCTTTCTATAAAATATACTTTTTTCCCCTGTCTGCTTCTCTTCATCACGTTGGAAAACTGTTTTCCTACAGACTGCATGTTTGTGCCCACTATTAATAGCTGGTGGGTTCTGAAAAGAAGGCGCAGATTTTTTAAGTGAAAAATTAATCCACATACATTCAAATTTTAGTGGTCCAGAGAGACCAAATGACACTGTATGTGATTTTGAAAATCTCCTTTACAGGTTTCTCTTCCCTAAGATACAGAATCTACATGTAAGAGGGAACAAACAGCTACATAGCACCGAGGCAACAACAGTGAGGCTGCAAACAAGGACCAGGGGAATCCGGACTGAAGCAAGGTGCATTAAGAGCTCTGTTTTGCTATGTATTTCCATCACTCAGACAATTAGATATCACAGGTAATGTGTCCCTCTTTTCTCCTGGGAGACTGACTCAATAGTTAGGAAGCACTTCATCAGGATCAGCTCTGCTCTATCAAGACAAACTGAATGGCACACAAAACTGTGACCTATTTCCTTCTGAGAATCATGCCACTGACTTAGGAGACTAAGTAAGGACTTCTGATCCTAACATTGCCACCATTTTATTTTAAAATATTTTGAAAATGCTTCCTGATTTTACGTACCAAAGCAACGTGAACAGTGAATTCCACGCCGATGCCAACAGAAGCAATCAGGATAACCACAGGCACTGCACTCAGCTTTATTCCGATTAGACCCATCATGCCGAACAGCTCCACAGTCATCAGAGCCAGCACCACCACCTAGATGATTTCAAACAGCTGTTAGTAACTTCTTCTTCTTCTTCTCCAGACAAATGAAGAGAAAGTTGTTCCAAAGCAACATAGTGACTTTAAAACACACCGCTCAAAGGCATCCTGTATTCCCAAAGACAAGCTGCTTTTCCTTGTTTCATTGTGCTCAATGACAGTGACTTGCTAAAGAACCAGTTTAAATTACACTCCTAAGAACCAGTTAACAGACCAAGCATCAGTTTTGTATTGGTTACAATTTATCAGTGATCTGAAAAACAATTTATGCTTCTTTATCATGGATACCCTCCAAACATACATGTTCTCTTTTTCACCTGTTTCTCAGACAATCCTTCCAGAGAAAGTAACTTGCAACTACCTGTACTGGAATTCTTTTTGTAGAACTGCAAATAAGTGAGGATGACTTTTGAGTGGGTTTAAAACCCACAAGAAAGTGAATACCATAATCAGCTGATGAGTCTCAGGTTTCAGAGGGGCTCTGAGCTTTTAAGATACTTGGAGGGATTGACACAGACAAAGTGAACAGTTAAATCTAAGGCAAAGCTTTTATTTTTCTTTCATCTACCTTGTAAAAAAAAATGAGGAAAAGGGAGGGGATGAAATCTGTAGAATCAACTTTAAAAGTTGATAAAGCCAAGCAGGGAAAAAAGATAGACATACTTATAAAAGCAATGGTGGACTCTGAAAATAAACGCCTTTTCCAAGGGAAAAAAGTATGCACTACAATAAATGATTTTATAAGCTAATGAATCAAGAGTAATAACACAAATTGCTTGATTAAGTGCTATGAAAAATATTCTAGACTAAACATTTACCTTTTAACATACCTGTCATATAAACGTACATTACAAAAACTAGTAACTGTTTTACGCTTTTCTACTTCTGGCATTTTATAAACCATACGATAGTTTATGGAATTTAAACATAGGAACATCATCATTCAATTTAACTTGAATGTTTACGGAGAGGCTTATGGTGCCTTGCAGACAGTATGGAGGAGTATTCTTTTCAGTTTATATGGCTCTTTCTCTTCAATAGCTCAGTTACACTCTTTCCACAGTGGATACCGTACAAGCTAACTATTTCAGTTTTTCCAGAGAGACTGCATTCAGAAATCAGTGGGAAAATTTACAGGCAAGTTAGTCACAAGCAACTGCCTTGAAAAATAACTATGTCCGATAAAAGGGGAGATGGAATAAGTAATTAGAAATAGCTTTAATATTTAATAAGCTCTTAATTTTCCTCTCTATTTCTCATGTTAGCATGCATCTGAGCAAGGGCAAAAGTTTATGTACCTTTCTGAGAAACCTTCAAAGCTGCAAAAAAGGTGGCCAGAGGATTAAAGTTATTAAGGTTTGTACCTTTAGCATGAACCCTACCCCCTCAAGTTGAATAAATATATAATGAATGATGCAATATACATACTCCACCAGAGGCCCAGACATAAACAAAACCTTCCGACTACAGCAAGAGCTATGCTGAAAGGAATTTGACTTCAACAAAGACCCTTATAATAAACTTACAATGATCCCAGCCGTCCAGGGGTTTAGGAGGAAGAGGGCACACACCAGAAACGTGCAAGCCAAAACCACACTAATGGATAAGAGGAGCCAGTGACGAAGTCCAATGTACTGCTCCCAAAACAGAAATGGGTAACCATTTGGGTAGCTGGCAATCCCCAGGCTGGTGTAGTTGCTACAGATAGCTCTCACTTTCTCAATCGCCTCCACAAAGTCAGAAGTTTCACGCAATCCATTGAGGTAGAAAGGAAACTGAGCGTATTCTATGGGCTCAGCTGCTGGAACTAGGAAAAGGATAGCAGTGTTACAATGTGTGTTTGGAAAGAAAAAGATACACAGAGAGTATGATTAACAAAATCCTTTGCTCTCCACAGCAAAATGCTTAAAGGTGCTGCATTTAAATTTTACTTCCTTGGAAGAAGTGACATTTAAAAAACTCCCCAATAAATTGAAAACTGAAGCAGTACAGGAGATTACTATGTTTTATCATGCAGTGCAATGGGATGAACACAGTCTACATCAAGTCCCCAAACAATTCTATATAATTTAAGAGATATATTTGAATACATGTATTTAATCCTCATCAGTGTTAGCGTGGTTTTTATTGAACACCTGGCCCAAAATCCCTAACTGCAATATAAAGTCGAAGACCACATCATCTTAAAACATTTTATCCAAATTCTCTTCTTTTATGCCAAGTGCAGTTCCTTTGAAATCAAAAGTAATTTCCCTGAGATTAATTGAGGTTCACTGGCACAAAACTAGAGAAAAAATATGCTTGATCAGGCTGATTGGTTTTTAGAATTTCCATTGAATATTTTGAAAGTCAGATTCAGAAATCCATGTTCTGTTATTGATGCAAATGATTGGGAAAAAAACCCTAATATAAAAGTAATGATTTAATGAGGAAATACATAACTTTTTATCCTTTAATAATTTGACAAACCAACACTCTCCACACTTCTTTTTGAGTGCAATGCTAAGTCTACTGTATGACAAGAAAAAAAAAAACACTTCCACAACAAGCATTTTGTTAGTGCCGTTGTGTGTTCCAGACCCTGCAGGGTCATTCAGTTGACTTGCTAAACATGATTTGCCCTATTATAATCTCAACTATAAATTTTCTTTAAGACAAGACTTGGCTGACTGCCACAAAGCTCTAGGGTTCGGATACACTGAAGCATGGCTAGCTGGTTACTCAATCACATTTCCAAGTGCACCAGTCCTCCCCTATAGGCCCTCTCCCCTTCCCCACTGGTGTCCAACTAGTAATCCTCCCAGTAAATTGAAAGCTGAAGCAAAGCAATACAAACTGGCATTGGTGCTCAGGAAAACACTGAATGGCACGGAATGGGACTGCTCCCCTACCTAAGTAGCTGTTGTACTGTATCAGCGTTGGTAGCTTAGCATATGAGCTAACTTGATAAAAATCCCTTAGGTATTAAGAATTGAGGATAAACATGATATAATCTCAGTGGTGAAATTTCAGAATGACGTAGGCAGGAACTTCATGTGATCTCACAGACAGAACTATCAGGTGACACTAAAAAGCAATGCTTTCTCTAAGCTCTTTGAGCTTTGAACTGTTACAAAACTAATTTTTCAACATGATAAAACCCTGCAGCGGTGCCACATTTGCAGCGGCGCATGGGCCCCCTAAGACTGCAGAGTGACACAATATATTGTCCTGTTTACGCTTCTGAGCGCTATGCAGCATCAGCCAACTACCAAGTTACTGGTTCTTGAAGGAAGGAGCCGGGGCACTTACATGAACTCTAAGACATGAAGATGAAAGGCCACTTACTTCTCAGCCTCGTTTCTGGCATATAGTCTGCTTTGTCGTGGACCCACTCCGGGCGGTGAGGCCGAATGTTGGCTTGCGAGGCGGCATAGGCCACAGGGTCATTGCTAACCCAGGCTGTCAGGTAGATGTAGAAAGCATTTGGGTTAATGATCCCATCCGCATCCACCAGACGCTGTTTAGTCAACTGCAAAATGGAAAAAATTAGAAGCCTTTCAGAACGAGTTTTGCTTTCAGGGTTTTTGCCGTAAAGCTTTCAACAAATGGCCTGGAGATGCAACACAAGTATAGGAAGGGAAAAGCAAAAGGGCATGAATCTTCACTTGAAATGTCTTATCAGTAAACCATTGTTTGACAAAGAAAAAACATCTAAAAAACTACAGTGACAGTAGAAGTGGTTATTTATAAATTAGTACTCATATAATATTTACAATAACCACTAAATCAGCAGATGGTTCCGGAATAGATTGAACCAATTAAATCCAAATTCTGAAAGCCTGCAGCCAAGAGTGCAAAACAACCAAGTTGGAGAAACTTATTTAAAGACAGGGAAAGAAAACCTGGCAAGAGTCCTTATACACGTCTGTGTGCAGTTAACCTCTGTTGTTAACACTGAAGGAAATGCCACCCAGTAAATGGAGGAGAGCTATAAAAATAAAACAACATCTGTATAAATTTTGCTAACACTTGCCTCCTATGACCTATGTATTCAGAAAATGCCCAGCGTCAAGAAAGCAGACGAGTGCCCTGTGTTACTTGGGTCACTGTGGGCAAATGCATCTGTGGGGTAAACAGCAGTGGTACACTTCTAGGGTTCTGTAGCCAAATCCTGCACAGCTAGAGCTCTGACAGAGGACTCTGTGGGTGAAAAGTATTACTGGGGTTTTTTGTTTTGTTTATTTAAAATTCTGGCTCGGCTCCAGTTTCAGGTCTTTTTAATGAAATGAAAAACAACAGTGACAGCAGTTAAAAAAAAAAAAAAAGCTGGATTCCAAGGATCTGGATTCAATTAGTCCACAGGATATGCAACAACTGTATGTCTTCAAGCTGTCTCTGGAACGGCACAGTACAGCGCTCAGCCCCTGTGGGTGCACCGCACTTTTCTCCCTCCCAGGCACAGGAAATTATATCAGCAGCTGCAGTCCAATCACATTTGTTCCACAGCGTACCTGGTACCCTCTGCTAAACAAAATCTCACTGAAGGTTTTCTCTTCAACTCCTTTTCTTTGCTTAATTCATAGCTGAAGCTTCATTCAGACCTGACAGCATGTTGCATGTTGCTATACAGCAGTGTGTTTTACACACCATAGTAACTTTGAACAATGTACTCCGTAAATCTGTCTCCTTTAATGCCAGGAAAAAAAGAAAGACAATAAGCAGATCTGCCAAGAAGCTCATTAGAAAGACTATTTTTCTGCCTGAAAGCACAGTGAGTCAATGATGACTCTAGGAGACGAGAAGTTAGGTAATTGCAGAATTTCTTCTTAGAGGTTTGAAATCTAATTTTAGTGTAAAGAGTCAAACCTAATGTGTTTCCACCTACCAATGCTTACAGCAAATGCAGTCATACGCTATGATAACCTTGCAAAAGAACCTCAGATATATTTTATTTAGGCAGCACAAACAACTGCCAGTCTTAGTTCTGCAACAGTATAGCTGTATTTAGTCATGATGGTACAAGAATACAATACAGCACATAACGATTTCAGCCCCCTTAGTGGTATCATTCATTAACGTCTTTTTTTAAATGTTTTGCATAAATTGATAGGAACTAACCAAATAATTGCAGATGCTAGATTCAAAGCCGCAGCAGAAAGCTGAGCAAAGGTCAACCCTATAAGGCAATCTGATTCAAAGCAGAAACAATGCCACTTAGGGCAACAAGGCTAACATTGGCTCTGTCTGGCATAGGACCAAACTCCACCTACCTATGGATGCAGCAAAGCATTTTTCACAACAGTTTCAGTGGAAACTGAGCGTCTGAAACAGGAGTAGCACCAAATGCACACTAACCAGTAATAATCAAGGGCAGGCATTCCCCGTGTTGATTTTAAACACTTTGCAACACAGGCCACACTGCAGCTAACAAGTGGCTTCAGCAAAGTCAGTGAGGCCATGCGGTAAGGTGTAACTCAGGCATTCAATTCATCAAGATGAAAAAAGAGACTACAACATGCTCTTTGCATCTCCCCGTGCTCCTGAATGACTTGTATATTCCTATATAAACCAGTATGGACTTTGATACAGTACCTGGCTGATGTCAATGGGCTTTGCTCGGTTGCCTGTTTGTACTAAGAGTTTGTAAGCCAAAACAGCATCATCAGATCCATTTTTGTAATTGTTGTAAGTGATCTTCCCAGTTTCCCAGTCACTGTCAAATGCATCCTGAAGTCCTGAAGAGTTAAGTGAGGCAAGGGGAAAACAGAACAAGCAGATAAGCAATCACTCTTAGAAACAAATTTCAGTAGGAAGAAAGAATATTGACTCTTTTTCATAGCTGCATCAGGAATAAGATTATCCACCTGTTGCCTCCTAAATTTGGGGCTCCTCATTCACTGTCAGTGTGTAGGAAGGTAAAAGTATCAGTTGCGTGTCCAGTATTTTGCCCAAAGAAAGGCAGGGGAAGCAAGAAAGTACAAGGCAGAAGCCTCAAGAGTCTTCCCATATGGTGCAGACCAGCAAAGCTGAGCCAGCAAGCTGCAGATGCCATGTGCACTGGTGTAAACCAGCTTCCTCTCAAGGCAAAGAGATCTTTGATGGGATTAGGAGCCTCTGGTCCCGCATCCTTCTCAGAGCCTTTGGGAGCAACTTAGAGCTCTGCTAGGAGAAATATATGGGGAAGAGTTAAGCTTGTCTAGAAAAAAAAGTGGGTTTCCTCATGAACCACAATTCCAGAATCATCACACCCAAAACTCTGTAAGCATATTTCCATTTATCACCTCTTTCATACACACCCTCCTCAAGACAAAGCTGAAGTCTTGTCCTGACCTGGACAGTGCCAGAACAGAAAAGGGCTGAGTCTAGCCCTGATCCAACTTCACCGCCTACCATGGACTGAAAACCAGAGGAGGCATTTAGTCTGTTACCTAGAAAGGAAACCTCCTCCATCCACCCCTCTGCCTCACCAAAACCCTGGCCGTGTGCACTGATAAACAGAGGAGGACACACACCGCTCTCATTAACTGTTTTGGGCTACTGCAGAGCACTGAGGCAATAGCTTCTACGATATAACCAGAAATTCCACTACAAGGGGAAAAAAAACCACACTCAAACTTTCAACTTCAAACAGCAACTCAGCTGCTCCTCGAGCACAGCGTGAGTGAACACGATTTTGTCAATTTGTTCCATCTGTTCAACTTGTGCAGCTAATACAAGTCGTGGGATCTGCTGCCAGCACATGTAAAGATCACAGCCAACACCTATTCACTCTCAACTGTTATTTTCCTCCTTGCCACCCTTCAAGGGGGAGGGAATACCTCACAGCACAAATTTGGATCAGATTTAGTACAGGAAGCCACAGCACAGTACAAGGAGGCTCTGTGCAAGCAGATGACAAACCGCATGTCCAGGGAAGGGAAGGAAAAGGCCGGGGGAGTGGCAGTGAAGGAAATCGCCGACCCACCTCGCAGCTGTGCTGAGGAGCCGTAATGAAAACCGTCATTACACATCAGACAGGTTAGCTACAGCTGTATGGAGATAAGAGCGCTGGAAGAGAAAATGCACCCAGCCAACACCACCTCCGGGCTGGAGTACACGCTGCCATTTACAAACTCATCCCCTCTCCTGTAGAGAACTGCCTCCCATGTTGTCCTGCCAAATCGTACACTCATGAAGCCAACAGACTGAGAACCGAGCGATGAAAGCCTGCCAGATCTCTGCATGCCACCCTCCACACCTGCCCAGGAGGAGGACAATTTGCCATCACGTTTTCTGGCATCACCAAAGGACTTTGGGGCCCCCTTTAAAAAAGCATTGTTTGCTGGTGCCCTCGGAGAGGGGAAAACATTGGTTAGGAATCCATCCCTCCTGTGCCAAGTTCAGCTCCATGTCAGTCTCTCAGAAAGTGGCCAGGTGAGAGCATTTATGCTATGGTACCAGTCATGTGAAAGATGACTTCGGGATAAGAGGAGGCTGTCAAAAAAGCACGTGGGAAAGAAGGAGACCATCAAGGAACACCTTAACTTACAGTAAAAATGGCTCCCTTCAGCAGGAGGAGCACACAAATTGCGATCATAGACAGCGTGTGGGGGCAGAGCTTTCAGACTTAACATCCAGCCCCTGTCATGGGGCTCCGCAGACACACAACAACAAATAAATCCACTGGCATGTGACATTACCAATTTGTGGTTGCAAGGTATGTCAAAAAAGGGCATGTACATTTAACATTACTGCAGCGGGTGAAAACTCAGGTCTCTCGCATCTCCTCCTCCTCCTCCCCTGTTCTTACAAGTTCAGTCAACTCTCAAACCCTACTCCCTTTTATATCTTTATTCCTCAGCTGGCTTAACTACTTTATGCTCTGGGTTATTTTATTACTGATCTTGCTGAAACTGAAAGTCTGTGGAAAGAATACAAAGAAACTACTATCGGTTGTGCCTAATTTCTAAAGAATTTCAAAATGTCAATAATTAAAATTTCCCGTAACTTTGAAATTAATAGCAGAGTTACTGCTTTCAAAGCAAACAGTACTCCGTTCATACCAATGACTTAAAAAGACATTTAATCTTTTATAAATGGGATTAATGAAATGTTTCTGGGCAGAAAGATAGAAGTAAGTTGTTGACTTCTCTCTGCAGAAAAGTTATAAGAATTAAGGGACTTTAAAAATTCTTATATATGGGATTTTTGCATATCAACAGTCACTTTTGTTTGATGCTTCAGAAGAAAGTGAATTCCTCCAAAATTATGCAGGATGCAGGAATGGGGGTGAGGAAGGAACTCCTACTGACTCATGTGAACAGCTGGCACCATGAACACCAGATAAGATTACCCTTTGCAAAAACAAGCCTAATTACAAGCCATCAGGGAATTCAAGCTACCTCATTTACATTCAGTCACTTACAAAAATAATGTTAACATTTCCAGTTTAAATGAATGATTACTGTTAACTCTTCTTCTGTTGCATTTTCAGTAACAGAAATATACTAACATGATATGCTACCAGAAAGCAAAATACAAGGGAACCTCTGACAGAAGAAGTGCATTAGGCTGAAGGCACTCCACTGATAGTGTACAGCTAAGATCAAGGATGATAAAAATGCTTTTGTTCATGTGCTGTTGCTTCCCTCATTCTGCCAGACAAATGTGTGCATGTCAGAAGGCCATCTTGAGCCATTAATCTCCAGCACTGAATTCCCAGTCAAGTTGGCAAGAATTAGCCATGAAGTTCAAAGTTGTCCCTACTTTGATTAACCTGCTCCTCCAGCATGTAAAAATGTACCAGTAGAACTGTTCCCACCTCACAGAGGATCCTCCCTGAATCCAGCCTAAACCTGTATCTTGTTTTTAAACTGTTTTCACCTCCCCTCCCCTTTAGTCCCTCAGCATCAGCCCCAGTTGGCAACAATCAGGTATTTCTTCTATTAGTGTCTGCACCTTGAGATACTTCCCAACTATGACAAATGTGGCAGCTTTTAGTGTAAGTTTAGTTCCCCCCTGTCACATCAATGCCCTGTACCATTTCAAAAATAACTTCTTTCTATTAACACATTCCAATGTCCTTCTTCTTTACAGCTTTGTGAATGCAGAATCACACTCTACAAAGTCAGCTCTGTGTCTTTACAAAGCAGCTGGTTTATATTAATTGTGCCTCTCTTGGGGAAGGTGGGGAGGAAGTGTAAGGACACAGACCTAAATGCTAATTAGTAATCATAATCATTGACTCTAAAGCTGTGGGTGATCAAGTTACTCCTTCCTGGAGCCTCCCTGACCATTCCAGTCTAACTTTTTAGGTCCACGCACCCCATCGGTATATCCAGGGTACTAGGAATACTCACAGTTCCTCTGGTGGAAGAAAAGCGGGGAGGACAAGGAAGGACAGGCAGGCTAATGTGGGCTGGAAGCGGGAACGTAACTATGGGCAGTGAGAAGAACACAGGAGCACCCCTAAGAGCAGAGTGGATCTGGAAAGGTCATGCGTGAGCACGGACATAGAGCACAGCGAAGGAGATGTGCAGGCCCTTGGCATGGGCCACGGCCACACAAACAGCCCGTAGCACAAGGAGGTGATTACAAAGAGGACAGGGAGGCATCCAAAGTGGGACAGCTTCGGGAAAGTACGTGGTGGGCCTGCGAGAGGGGTAATGGGAATGCGAGCACCCCCAGGAGCAACTCCAGGTGGGCGAGCCTCCAGCGTTCCACTCTGAGAAGCCAGCAAGGGAGCAGATCCCAGGGCACCTCTCCCCGAGTTTACCGCTGGCAGACTGTGCTGAGCTTCAGCGCTAGTATGTGAAGATCCTGAACACGATCTCCAATTTCCATCTCCCTCGCAGGTTTGGGGGTGGGGAGGAAGGTGGAAGGGGGGACACCAGACACATTTTTTCCTACCGTTTTGGAACAACAACAAATAGCCACAAAAGAAATAAAATAAATGGCAGAGGTACAAGAGAATTGGAAAAGCATGCAGAAAGATGCTTGCTTAGAAATCTAGAAAGTATAGTAATGTTCCAATCCAGCAAAACATCTAAGCTATGTTGAATTTTCTTCCTGCCAGTAATACCTTCCCTTACAGCTCAATATGCTTATGTGAGCAAAATATTTTAAGTAAAACTTCCAGTAAGTAGACTGTAATGAATGGATCCAATATGTTTAAAAAACATTAAAAAACCAAAGCTAACAGCTGAAATACTGCTTTGCACGATTTATCAGTGCATGAAACACATGGGAAACTTGATCATTTTGTTTAGATGCGTCACTTAGATGCATCCGCTTTCCTGATATTGCCCGACATATTTCAGAAAGAATAAAATACCCCAAATATTGGCAGTTACCTATATGTTCTCTAAGAATCATTGGCTGCACTGGTCATCTGTAAACAGTTACAGTTAAAATTTACAGTCTCGCTAGGTCAGCACAATTTTCTTCTGTTGGCAAAAGCTTCCTGGAGATTCTCCCAACAGAAAGACGGAGGTAGGACAGAAGTACTCCTGGGCAGAATTATGATTGCTGTTAAATTTGCTGAGAGGTAACAGTACTATTTATTCTGAAGACAAAACAGTTATTTGTCTCAACATGTGTAATTATAGTATCTTTAATATCTTTAATAAGCTGACTTCAATATAATTATCATCGTAGTACCTGAAAGGCCATGCCTTCTCTTGTCTTCCCCTGCCCCACTACAATTCAGCACAGACAAAGCACCACCACAGAAAGAGTGAGGATACTTGACTGGAAATCGAGAATGTATAGTAAGCTCCCAATCCAGTAAAACATATAAGCCACACTGACTTTTCTTCATGCCAGCAGTCCCAGCTGAAGCCAACAGGATCACTCACATGCTGAAAGTTAAGTCTGTGCCAAAATACATCGCCAGACAGGGACTTTTCATTTACTGTTCTCAAAACACTCAGCAAACATGTTTTCCCAAGACAGTGGGCCATATTTGGCCATTAATTATGAAGCAGAACTCCTCATTAGCTGCTTAGAAATTAATGGCACTGGATGGCCTTTCATGGATATAATCTGCTAAAGCCTCAAGACTGTCTTACTGGGGAGTAAACTTAGCCACAAAGAATTTAAGTGACCTGTTGGAGAAACAGCGACTCAATGTGTGAGTTCAGCTTAGCACCTAGGTGTTCCACCTCCTGCTTGCAGTCTTTAACTTTGTGACTATATTCGAAGAGAGGAGCATTACTAGCGTGAACAAGTGGTTACTACTGTAGAATTAAGAAAAGTTCATGCAACTCTCTCTTACCTTGCAGCCAGTCTCGAAAGTAGTGCAACCACATTTTGGGAAGCTGCCTATCCTCTTCCAACAAAACATATGTCACATTGCTGAAACTTCTGTGAAGTTCATAAAGTAAGTGCTGGACATTTGGATAGTCTGCTTTCTGTGTCACAATATACATGTTGTAGAATGAAAAGTACTTGAACTGTGCGGCAATAAAGTCATATTCTCGTGTTTCCCGTGGTACAATGTCTGTGAGATCTAGTCCATCTCTCACCCGGGTAGTTCCATAAAGGCTGAGCCCAAGCAAAGCCAGAAAAAGAAAAATAACCACAATCTGCAACAGAAAATGGAAATGTATTTGGTTTTAGATTTTTAAAGAAACTAACAATTCATAATGGTGCACTACAAAGCCATGTTCAAAATTAACACCCACAAGTCTACTTTAAAGCTTTTCTTTCTTTTTTTTTTTTAAATACACATACACTACAAGGCTAAGCTAATTTGCATTGCACTGAAGGGGCTCTGCGTCATGGATAAGAAATTTATATCGTAATAAATAATGGCTTTAGTTTTACTATTCACAAGCTTATGTTACTGAAAGTCACCAACACCCTCACTCATAACTTGTATTTGAAAATTATGTCTCTACAGCACTCACAAGGTAAAACTTTTAAAGTATGAAATTAACTGTAAAATTGTCAAGAATTGTTACTCCAAAAGAATTCTATTTATTCCTTATATTTAATACCACTGCCAGGAAAATTTTATTACTGGGCAAGGCAGAAGTCTATTGTTGAAAAAAACAGTAAATAGTTCCCTGATTACCTTAGCTTTTGGTTTTAGGAGGAATGGAGCATAATGCTTTTCTGCAAAAGATGAGAGTGTCCACTTTGTACAGGGTGGCTCAAGGCAATGCATACTGGAGTCGGAGAATTGGGAAAGCAAATCCCTCGTCGAGCTTGTGCTTTCTGGGCTCTGGCAGCTAAGATTATCTTGCGTCACTGTCACTGGCTGCACAGATATTTCTGAGCGAGGCTCTGCTGTGGTGTAGTACACCTGCGTATGAGGATCGTATTCTGTGCGCAACTGCACTGTAGACTGCATTGTAATCTGAGTTTCATGTGCAAAACTGTGACTGCTGTATGGGGGTGGAGGACTGTAGCAAGTATTGTCGTTTTCTGCATATGCTTGAGGCTCAATCTGAATCACTCTAGTGACACACGGACTGCAAGAGAACAGAGAAACACCTGTTCGCATTTAGATAGATCTTTATTTTAATCAGACAAGATAGGATAACCTGCTTCCATCTGAGACTGCTTCTACTACTATTAGATAGTTTATATTAATTAAGTGTAACGCTCTGATGTGAATTTTATTCTGCGCCTTTAGGAAATGTTTCACAGAGGTGAGCCTCTGAGAATATGTGCACATTTCTTGTGCTCAGGAAAGAAGAAACCAGCATCTGTCTGAAGACATTGACAACTACCCACACCACTCCATTAATTACACATGCTAATCAGGTCATACCCAGGTAGTTGCACACAGTCTGAATGCACAATAGGTGTGTGAGTTTGCAACTACGTGTCCATGCTGAGAATTAAGCTATTTAGATCAAAGTGTAAACACATGACATACTGAGTTCTTCTGTTTAGAACTATTAAAGTAACTGTTAAATAATATTTGGGCCTTCTGGGTAAGATCTCAGACTTTTGGGAGGCAGGTTGAAACCACTTGCCATACACTGACTGAATGTTTTAAAAATTAAGTAAACATAAGCAAGGATTAATTCCTAGGAAGGATGGGCAACATGAAGAGGCAAAATTACAGAAGTAACTGAAGCATTCCCTTTATTTTAGTCTATGCAAGACCCTAACAGATACCTAGTTTATAAAAAAAAAAATTATCAAACCTCTTCCTGTAAATGAGAAATGACAAATTGATGATAGAAAACAGTATCAGAGATTTTTCACCAAGTGGAGAAATCCTACCAAAACAAGAGGAATTCAGAATGTTGCCTATCTAAACAAAGCAAGCTCTCATTAACTGCATTTCTTCATATGTTAATGGGCCTGAATTCTGATACACATTTGGTGCAACTTTAGATGAGGGAATAAATGCAAGGTCTGATTGTCCTGCATTTCTGAGAATCAGGGCTCCAAAATTCAAGCACATTAGGCCATCCACTGAAACTGTGACTGAATCAGAAATAGAAAGCAGGAGTCCTGGCTTGGGATCAACTCCCTGTTCTAACCACTCTCTCAAAAAGAAATTTAGAAAAGTGCTTTCTCTCTTTGACATTAAAATTAAAATGTCAAACTATGTCAGCTCCTAGGTGGGTGTAAAAGGCTAAGATGACACTTCATAACCAGGATTCTCCACATCCTAGTTACGACCGTAAGAGTACATAAGTAGAAATGTAACTGATCCTCTTCATTGCAGGCAAAAGCAAAAACTAAGGTGGAAAACATGCTTGATTTCTAAGCAGTGGCTCCACTGATGACAGTAGAGTCCTCCTAGCCCCACTGTACACTCAGACCTGGCCGTGTATCAGGTAAGAGTCTGTGTCTGCACTCTTTAGAATGGCAGTATTTTACCATTCTAAATTACTATTGCAGCCGTAACTGAAACTTTATCAAGCGTTATCCTGAAATGGTACTGATCATCCTGCATTCCTCATAATCCTATGAAATACTCAGCTAAGGGGAAGTCTTTTTACAGTTTACACATTATGTTTATGTATTTAAGTTTAAAGACATAAAAAGCATAAAAATTAGCACATAGTGATTAACTGCAAGTAAGGTTTCTCAGTACCCTGAGTTACATACAGTATTCCAAGACTACCCAATACAAGCACTGGACACCTTGCAGTACCCTGTAACATTCTAAAAATACTTGAAGATATTGCTAAAGCATCGATCTTTTATCTGCTTTCAGAAAGTTGTCCTTCAACAGTCAAAATGAACATACGTACAAATGAAGGGAAAAGCGTGTGTGTGTGTGAGAGAGTATGAGAACGAGATATTTTAACTTTTCCCCTCTGTCAGATAAAAACTAAGATAGCAAATTTAAGTCAGTCACTAGCAATAACATCATAATAATAACATACTGATCCCGCTGCAGTGAAGAACTTCCACTCCTGACAAGGAATGGTAGCACTGATTGGTGACCATAACAAAGACACACCTCATACATCAATCTATCACACATTCTCACCTTGTAAAACAGCAGAATATATCCAGTCTCCTGTCCTCTCGACGATAAAGGTCCATGCTCAGGATAGCAGGAAAAATCAGCAGAACCATAGCAAAGTTGAACACCACCACAACTGCTGCCTAGAGATCAATCACAGAAGTGATGTCATTACTAGGCTTCATGTAAGGCATCAGCTTTACAAAGCATAAAAATTCTTTTCAATTCTCATCTGTTCACCCATTTATCATGTCAACCCATCAGATGCTTTGAAGCTCTTCCCTGAGGAAACTGGGAGATATACTTTTACATTCCCATTTCATTATGGTAGGCCTATTGTAGTTAATTAATTTCTTTTAATAATAAACTTCATATTATTTTAGTACATCTGTGCCTGGACATGTGGTGATGATTTGTAAGTGGAAACCAGCCAACAAATCATACTTTTGCATGAGATTCTGCCATATTTAGAGTCTCACAGTAAAAAAAATATAGAAGCAAAAGCAAACCTGGAACTAGAACTCAAGTTCTTACATTTAAGGGATCGGAAGTAATTTAAGCATCACAATAACATTGAAGAAACATTAAATCAGAAATGAAATAAAGGTTTAAGTAAATTTTAATTAAATTGTTCTATTTAGTAAAATTTTATGCACTTGATGTACCTACTTAAAAGTCTAGCCAGAAAAACCAACATTTTGGGTTTATCAGGGCTTATTTTTAAAGGAGAATCAAAATTAATCCAACACCATATAGTAAATCTATGTATTAATACGCTTGTGTTCAACAGTGCTTGATTAATCAGCCAGTCTGCCAAAATGAGTCTTAAATTGGAACAAGAATACTTGGTTTAATTTGTAAAGCGAACATTACGTAATGAAAAAAACCAACCTCCCCGCCCACCCCCTTTCAAACCATACTTCAAACCCCTTCCCACACAGAGATTCCCAGAGAATCTCCATAAACATATGTGGTGTAGCATCCATCATTATTATTAATAGCATTTATTTGTAATGCAGAATTGTTAGGAGCACCAGTCATCACAAAGGGAAAGCCTGCGCACAGATGGGACTGGAAGATAGTTGTAAGAGCAGGAGAGACACTGGGAAAAAAATGGTTGAGCCATCAACAGGTGAAAAAAACCCCTTGAAATCCTTATATTTATCCATTAGATAAGCAGTAGCCATCTCAGCAGTAGCCCAGTTTCGTGTTAAGGAAATCATATAAACTATCAAGTGCCTCCACCTGTTACTTCTGAAGTAACGACCACTTGGGTTAAAACAGTCATAAAAAAGAACAAAAGTTGGGCTACAAAAATGAAGTTGCTGACCTGATATAAACAGGTCCTCCTTTTTCCAAAATAAACAAATGGCTGCTTTTGATGTTGAAATATGAGGCCTCAACACTGGCAGCTCAAAAGATGTGATATCCAAAATTCATGCTTTAAAAATTCTTGACTTACATGTCAAATAAATAAATTGCCTAAATACAACAATTTTTATTTTTGTGTCTCTTTATCTGTGACAATCAAAGTAGTAACACACTGAACGACTTTTAGAGTTTTGAAGCTGTCAAAGTGTAATAAAAAAGACTAGATATTGTTTTTACTTTCCTGAGAATGACAGAATCAACTAGGTATGCAAATATTTTCTACTCATTTCAATCATAAATATATTGCATACAAAAGTGGTTTTATTGGTGTTTCTCTTTTGTTGTCTCCAGCCTGCCTGAAGTAAGATGTTGGTCCTGTGGTTGTCTGTAGACAGAACTACTAAAACAGAATTTACCTAGTACTTAAAGCTGAATTAGCATTCAGCCATCTTTGAGAGAAAAGATCCAATGACTATTTCATGATTTATAAACGTCCACAAGAAAGGTATGTCAGGTCATAGCCAAGACTTTAAAATTAAGTGATTTCCTTTTGATCCTCTCTAGAATTAATTGGATCTGTCAGACAAACAAATGGCTGCTGTTGCAAGCAAGGTGTTGGTTGGACCTAGTTCATATAACTGCTTGCTTTATTGCTGCTAAACCAGAGAAGGTTGAATCACCCATATAACATGAATAATTAGTTGTGTCTAACCAAGATCTTCTATCAAGGATCCGCTAAGATTTCTTGAGATTTGGAAAAAACAGTTGAGGCCTGACTCAATAATTTTTACTCCACCCCAGCACAGCTGAAAAACTAACCTAAGTCCTCTCTGTTCCTGCTCCATAAACTGCAAATACTTCATGCCTTATCAGTCCCCTTTGTAGACCCCAACGTCCTTGAATCAAAAATGCCGCTAAACCTGAAAACTAATACTTGAGTGTATGGCAGAGATCCCATTAAAGTTGGTTATATTTGCATTCGATTTTTTAAGAAGCATCAAAACTAATCCAACAACACACAGTAAATCTGCCTATTAACATGACATCACTTTTTAAAACAACTAGATTTTCCATGGTGCCATCCCAGTGTTGATGTGTGAACCCTGCAAGTAAAATATTTTTAAAAAATCCTCTCTGTTCTGATTGATATTTAAATAGATTCCTAGAGCTTAACACCACATTTCCTATACATTGCACACTGTCTCTCCCTCACCCACCTTCCCAGCATTTCAAGGATGTAACAGTTCTCAGTTTTCACAATTAAATACAGAAGATATTGTTCTTGTATCAATTTTAATTTGTTGTCCCATCAAAAAACACCCCGTGACTTGATAAGTAGAGGGAGGGAAGAACTGCTGGGGGGTGACTCAATCTCTGAACTGATGCATCAGCCACCACTTCCCCTCCCAATACCATTTAGACATTCGGTGGCTGGGAATGGGGATGTATGAGAAATGCGATCATGGCAATACCCAATCTGTAACAATTACACTGATTGGAAAAGCACCAACAAAAACCTGTGGTATCAGAGCTTCCAGAGTACAGGCAACCTGTTAGCAGCATCTAAGCTGAGAGCATGCTTAGGATTTTTTGGGACAGGGCATCTTCTCTCACCCCTTCAGAGACAAATGGTCAAATGGGAGAGGAAGGGGCTCAGACCTTTTCCTTGAGAAATCAACAAAGGTAAGATTAGTCCTAGAAGGGATAAAATGGGGCCTACTCAAGGGTGTAAAATGAAGGCATTCAGTGAAATAAGATCAGAGAGTAGTAAAAAAATTCCATTAATCAGAAAAAAATGTTGGTCACTTCCTGAGAAACATGCTCCGCTTTTTGCATCTTTTCATAATGCACAGCCTAAAAATATTATTGCTGCTGCAACTGTTCACAGAGACAGAAGAATGGCAGTCTGTGCTTGGAGGCAGCAAGGGAGACGGGAGCCAGGCTGGTAGGCTGGGGCCCCGCTGAAGGTATGTGCTGCTATGTGCCATTCCTGGCAGCCCACCCAAGGAGAACGGGTGTGCTGTATAGCCAGAGGTGATGAACAGGCGAGGAGGTCTGTCAGGGAAACTTCCACCCTACTGCTGCCTATCTGCAACTCCCTCCTGACAGCGCACAGACCTGGAGACCCCCCTTGCCTCCCCTGCCCCCCCCCCCCTTTTTCCCCGAGGCTTTAATTTTTCTTGTTAAATTCTCGTGTCAGGAGCACGGAAAGGTAAATGACGTGGGTAAAAGGAGGGAGACAACCCACTTCAGCAGAGTAAGATAATTGAATGAGCTTAAAAACTTAGATTCTCTCTTTCCACAAACCCACCACCTGGTAATGCACTTTTACATTTAGGAAAAAAACTTGTCATTCTTACAGTGAGGGAAAAAGTTACTGCTAAGACTGATTGGGAAAAGTTCACCCCTGCTCATTAGTGAATCCACACCACTCCTCTGCTGTTAGGGGAGGAACTTTCTGGTGTAAGCAATAAGAGTTAGATGAATTTTTGTGGAGTTGTCTGTACCGTCTCTCTCCTGGGCAGAATTTATTCCGTAACAGTGTCTGAATAGTCTGTCTGAGGAGAGAATTCAGCCGAGCAGTAGTTAACACTCTGCCTTGCCTTCCTTCATTTATACTCAAAACAAAGGGCTATGTTTAAGACATTCCTACTGCAAACTTCAAAAACTTTCAGTGGATTTCTCTGATAACCTTCCCCTTCACCACAATTTTAAGAAATGAAACACATCTGAAAACTCAGAACCTACTCCTTCGAAGTCCTGAGCACTATTACAGGTGATTCTTGTGACTGAGTATTTGGGACATGATCAGCATCTCAAAGCCCTAAAACTGCTTAAATAAAGGGCTAATAAGGTCAACAAATGGAAAAAATTAAAATAGTGAAAAAGCTAAAAAAGTGCCTATCTGCGTAACAGAATTAATATTAAAAATCTCACTTTCAAAAGGACTCATTTCCATTTTTTAAAACTCAGCAAGAGCTAACCCTAGCAAACTCCTAAGACAGCATCAGCCTTGCAGTGTTTGAGTTCCATAAAGTAAATGAACAACTCTGAGGTATCAACGAACTGCTTTAGCTGGCAGAACAGAACAGAAGATGAGAAAGAAGAAAGCATTGATATGCAAAATATGAGTTTTTAACTAGAAGTTGGGCTTGCAGACGCAGGAAACCATTTATTCTCCCTCAGCAGCTGGGTTATTTTACAGATACTGGGCCTCAAAAGTTATGGAACCTTTGACAATTATCTTGCAATGTCTTAAGAAAAGTGAATGAAGAGCAAAACAAGGTCAAGAGCAATCCTTTTTTAAGTCCATCTGTTAAAAATTCACTATCTACATGAGAAGAAGGCAGCATCTGTGAAAAGTAAATGCAGTATTTCATTGCTTTCTAAGTCTTGCTAGGAACCTATCAAAGACGGCAAGCACTTCTTGTTTAAACAAGCCTGAGTAAGAGGGAGAGGGAGGAAGAAGACTGTAAATAAAGAAATCCATATATAAATACAGACCACCCACCAAAATCTGCCATGGTTATCTGATTCTGAATGCTGTGATTAATGTATCACCTGATTTTGATTTTACCTGGTGAAGCTAGGCAAAGCAAGTAATGGATGTTCCTTTCTAACAACAAAGGATGTTATTTTAGTAGTTCCTAACTTATATACATATCATTTATATATATTGCTCTAGCATCAATAAATCCTCATTACAGGTCTCCGGCTGCCCTTTTTTTACACTTTTTCCATCTCTTACATATATATAAGGCGTTACTATGTGCAAGCAAAGACCAATTACAGATGCATGTGAGAAAAGATTGAGCAACTCAAACATTAATTTCTGGACACCCAAATGTTCCTACACATAGATTCCATATTAATCACTGCCTTAAAAAGGACTTTGATCATCATGTTTTTATTCTGAATAATATCAACATGTTCATACATGAATTATGTTGAAATCTCACTGGAAACTTTTTGTTTGTCATTTTGCTATGCAGACTTAGTTTTCTGAACTTTCAGTGATTCAGTCTACAGCGCGGCAGCAGGCAAAACGAAAGACTTTAGGAAAGGTATATTTAACTTATACTCAGATTACAGTAACAACTACAGCTGTTGTCCCCACATATGTTCCAAAGGCAACTTGTCATGTTCTGATGTGAAGAGTGAGAACAGAGAAAGGCTGAGCAAAATTTGATGAGATAAGAATTAATTTTGGTGGCTCCCACTCAACAGCTCAGCAGTGCAATTAGGACAAAATGGCTCATCTCTGTTGAGTACTTCTTATGAGACACATTTAGGCTGAAGTAACTTCTTTAAAGCACAGGTACTACAAAGCCTGACAAAACAAGCCTTCTCCTCTGATTCCTTGTGAAGATCTCCAGTATCCTGTCAGCTGCTTAAGGTACATGTTGAATGTTTGAAATTGGGCCACAGATTTAGGAGACATAAATAACTTCTTCCAAGAGAATAAGTGTTACACTTCCAAAAATATTTCACACATTGACACTGGTCTCTCCCATAAAATAAAACAATTCACTGTCACATCACCTGTAAGAAGAGATATCTAGGTTTTGGCAAATCAGCAGAGCTAAATACTGCTAATCATTCAGGACTAAGGATCTAGTTTTAGTTGCCGCAGTCATCTGCTAAACAATGCAGAAAACCACTAAGGCCTTTACTTTCTCTATTGTTCACTACCAAATTGCCTATTGAGAAGGAAATGGCAAACAAATTATTAGTGCTTATTACTAACATAACTGCAATCGCAGAGTTTACCATTTTACAGCTTAATGCAGGCATACTTAAATCTCTGAAAACAGCAATAATTGCCAGATGTATTAAGAAAAATTGCAGCCCTTGCTTCCTCTGGGTAGCCAAGGGCTCAAGGAGAATGAAAAATGACTGGAGAACCAGGCTACAGCAGAAGAAAAATAACTACTGCAAAAGTATAGTTTGCCTGCTCTGCACCAAGGTCAGACAGTGCTATAAATTGCTTGTGTCAGGGCAGAAACTCCCCAAGCTTTCTTCAAAGAGCCCTTGCTTTTAGAAGAAAGCTTTCTCCAGCATCCTTAATATTTCATATTCCTGAAGGTATATAATCATAAATACAAGAATACAAAGAGAGAAAGGGAGAGTGAGCGATACATGGTTCAGCACATAAAATTCACATTTTCTCTCAAAGCAGTTGGAACGTAAAATTCTTGAAGTTTTCTCCAAGGTTGCTAAAATTACACTGGGAGTAAGGCAGTACAAACTGCTGCAGTAGTAATTAATATGGCAAATGCATATTGGCTGCTGCCATTGCACTTTAGTTATAGTTTATAAGAGCAGCAAATTGGACAAACATGAATGAATGAAAGGATTAAATTGCTAGTGAGGAATGTTACAGTACACACTACAGTACAGTCTACTCCTCTTGACTTAAGAATGCAAATCGTCCTGGAGACTTGTTCTGCTTAGTAGCATACATCTTGTTTTTTGCACTGAACCCAGCTGTGATGGGGCATGGTATTCTTTCACCTGCTAACAGGATGCGAGAGACTCCAGGCATGAGAAGTGAGAGGAGCAGACAGCAGTTGTTATTACCCAGATCTATGGTAAACAGTGATCACACTGCAGCAGCACTGAACACAGACTTTAACACTACCACTAACAGGCATCATCACTGGCCTTTCATGATGGGACCGTGCATAAGAGCTAGCAAAATACCATACAAACTTACTTGGAGTGAAAATGCTCGTAAAGCAGGAATAGGGATTAAGGCAGCCATAAAGAAAGCAGTAACATTGCTGATAGATGTAAGGGCTACACTTGCTCCTGTTCGCTTCAAACATTCACCTGTTCTGTCCTGCAAAACAAATGACGTATCTTAAAAGTCAAGTGAATAAGGTGGTGTCCTGCAAATGAAGGGGTCATCCTACAGATGTAACACAGTAACAGTGAAAAATTACTACCATGAAATTCTGAATACAAATGTGCATTTGAAAGTATGTGAGAATAAACGATATACTAAGTATACTGTTGAGGAGAAAAGCAGATGATAAATGAAATGCTCATGGTTTTTTTCAATGGTAGAAAACATTATCAAAGCTGATTCTAGCTTCAGAACACTAAGTTACCAACATTATATCAAATACATCTGTAATAAAGTAGGATGTATTTTCTACCAGTGGAGTCACTTGGTGTTCTCATTTTTTTGACAATATAAGCATATATTAACAGCATAGAGGCATAACATAGCTAAACATCTTGAAGAAATATGTTACAAAACAAAAAAACAACCCGAAACCCAGGGACTGCACACAAAGAATGCAGATAAATCAAAATAAACACGTGACCCTTTCCCAACCCAGCAGGCTATTTTGAAGCATATGGAAGTTACAGTAGAGCAAGGTTGTAGTGCCTGCATGCCAAACCAGCTGGGAAGAGCACATGGAAGACACTGCTTGTACGAAACAGAAGGGGGAAATACACATTGCTTTTAAACGGTTTGCACTTCGGATATGAAACTCTGGACTGAGGGTGAAAAGGTCAATAAAGGGAAAGGATCATAAAAGTACACCACCTCAGATTTCGTAACATTAGTAAGTTATGCTTTGAAATGTTCATGGTCAATTACAAACATCAGAAAAGAAAAACAGAGACAATTATTCAGAATAACGCAAATTTAAAGCCATAACAAATAAGTAAAGGTAACAGTTGATACAAATAAAAAAATTGTTTTCTAAGCTGTCCTCCTTCTCTTTCTTTTCACCTTAATATTTTTGTGTTCTTCCATTAAAAGCTTTCTATCAGTTAATTGTCAGACTCGTATTTGAGTTTGTTCCTAAATTTACATCAACTTTCACCAAAATTTTGGGCAGAATTGGGATTATGTAAATTAGCCTTTATATATACAGCTATAAACTAAAATTTCAAGATGAAATAAATCTGAGACACTATCAAAAAAAAAGGAAGAAAAAAAGAATGTGACATTCCAAAACATTCTAGGATCACACATATTGCCGTAATTTCCTATTTTGACAGAAATAAGAATTTCCAGACCCTAGGAAAAGCTACTGAGAAAAAAAATGTTTTTTTTTAATCACTACTAATTAATTCTGGATACAGTTATCTTTTCCTATATGAAGCCTTCTGTTTTATCTTCCCCCAAATCCCTATTTTGTCATTACCTCGAATGGAATTCTCTTATTCTGCCCTGTTTCACTAAATGCATGTGCCAGAAGGAAAACATCATCTACACCAACTCCAAGAGCAAGAAAAGGCAAAACCTTGGGGGAGAAACAAAACAAACAAAAATCAAGAAGGTTGTTTTATGACCTGCCATGCAGCTAGCCATTAAATGGCTAATTAAAGCAACTTTTACATTACACTGTACACAAATCTAAGGGTAAAATGAAAATCAAAAGGATGGAATACAGCTATTAACTTTTTTTCTGTAATACTGCTGAGGAACTTGCAGTATACCATTTACAGGTAAAAAGTCTCACCAAAAGTAATTAAAGTTTTGGGTAGACAAAGAATATCTGATAATAATTCATGTTACATTCAGAATAGTTTCAGAATTTGAACATCCCACTACATTCAGATGCAAAGACAAAACCTGCAGCTCCTTATGTACAACTGGATGCCTCCACTTGTGTCAGGACACAGAAAAATCAAATAACCCAGGATCTAGTAATTAAACAAAGTACATGATACCTGCCTTTTTCCTTAATACCGTTTGGCAGCACGATCACTTAATTTCTCACAGCACAAGCTATGAGACAGGACAAAGGCACAAGTAAAGATAAAGAGCCAAAATACTTTTGCAGCTTTTTTCTCCTCAAAGATTCAGTTGTGTTCATTTACTAACAGAGTACTTATAATTTAACAGCAGACTTGTGTCTCCTAAATACCTGAGTTGTGGCAGCATTAAAGGAAATTCCAATCAATGAGCACAGGCCCAATCCTGCAGCCACGGAGAGTGCAACCAACAAGACTCCTGCCAGCCCCACGGCACCCTGAGACTTGGCACAGTCCCACCGCAGCATTGTTAAACAGGCGTAGGCAAGCTAAAGCAAGGGGGTGGGAGGGGAAGAGAGGGACAGAGTTGGGGGAAAAAAAGGCAAAATATTAAAATGGATCCTCTTCTAACAGCTATCTCTCCCCACTGAAAATACACATCCTTACAAACATTTGTAAATGGAATAGACACATCACAGATGTTACACAGAGGAACAAGTGACAAGCCTGAGGCAAAAGTTTACAAACGATAGTTTTTATTTTAAATATGCCTAAAATGTTCTGGACTACTGACTGGTAACAACAGAGCAGATATTTAAGCCCTGCTCTACTACCAGGGAAAATTAAATAAATGTATTGTATTACCATTAGTAAGTAGCCACTAGCTACTCTGATAACACTGACATCAGAAAATGACTTTAGGATGTCATCCAGGGTGGTCGTAGTAAAGGAGAGCACCTTCTGAGTAGAGTTTTGTGCAACACTTTGATGAACCACCTATGAAAAGAAAAATAAAACTTCGTACAACTAAAGAAAAATTCATTACCATCTTCTACAGCACACATCTGAAATCAACTACTTTTTCATTAATGTTCCTGCGAAAGCCCACACCCCACACAGAGATTACGTTGATAGTACACAAATGTGTTTGGTAATTACTTCTTGCAAGCTACTGATTATCAGACAAGAATCTGCATCCTTCAGGAAAAGCTACTGCATTCCCAGCCCATTCCAAACATTTTAACTTGAGTCCTCTTCCCATAGCTCCACCCTGGATTTGCTGCAGTACGCGTTTTGCCTGTAACCCAAGGCCGGCGATCTCTTTGGGGTGCTCCTCTTTCCCCCTGCCTGGCCATTTGCAGAGGTCAGAAGCAGCGCAGCAGAGGTCAGAGCCTGGGACACAGAGGCCAGGCACTGTCACACAGCCTCCCCACCCAGGCTGCCGGGGGAGAGCAGCCCATGGCTGGCTAATGTTTTCCAGACACCTTTAGAACAACCACGCCAACCAAACGCTGTTAAATTCCAGCTAGCTCTTTGGTTCCTTTTCAGCCCCGGCAAAGCAAAAATGTCCCAGACAGCAAGGAGCAAAACCCTCATGGCTTCTCGCATGTGAATAACCAAGCAGCTTCTTAACTGGGCTGGGGGTGGGGGTGGAATCAGCTTAAAAAGTCGGAGGCAATCACTCAGTTCTGGTGTAAGCATCTTCCTTGAAGAAATATGGTAAAAAGCCGTGACAGAAGGCAGTGGATCTTAGCAGGACTTTATAGTATGGTATCTAGGTTATTTTCAATTTTACCTCAACATACATCCTCTGCCAGGCTTCCAGAATTGCTGCTGCCTTATCCTCATTCCAGTTGATATGTGAAACATATTCATACCCCTTGAAGTGCTCGTACATTTGCTTAGGAGTCATTAACTGGAACATGGTTTGCAAAGCCTGGGCACTGTGACATGGAGAGAAGGGAGAGGAAGAAGAGGCATAAAATGAGCATTTCCAGGAAATTATTTTCATGGCATCAAGTCCCAGATGAGACCCTAACAGGAGCTAGCATCTTCATTTTATAGGACACATGCTTGTATTAAAATTGAACAGAGTATAATTATTCTGCTGTGTATCTGGTGCAGCTGTACTGGTCTATGCAGCGTTGAGGCTTAATCTGGTTTCACTGGTGAAGTTAATGAGAGTTTTGCCATTACTTTCAATAGGATCAGTTTCAGGAGCAAAGAATGTAACCCTACAAATAAGTTCTAAAGTTCATGACAGATAGACAGATTACTGTGAGGATGCCACAGGAACAGTTATTTCTACAAGATCTTGTAAATGCTGCTGGCAATTTGTCATTTGAAGACCTTGGTCTTTTTCATCTCTTGGAGAGAAATGCCAGATTAAACTCCTGATGCCTGACAAGCTGCAAGGAGCACACAATGGCAATAACTATCCATCCTGAACTTCCACAGTATGCAACTGTATCCAACAATTTTTAAAGCTTAAGGCATTATTTTATTTTTCACTAAAATACATTCTTTGGCTACTTGTTGAAAGACTTATCAATGTTTAATGTGAATATAAAAAAGGTCAATATTCGTATTAAAAGTTCTAGTAAAACTTCCCTGTATTAACTATGGAAGAATTGTGCTTCATTTAGTTTAGTATGGCCTACATTTTTTGGAACAGTTCTATTTCACAGGTCTTCTCCCCCACTGAAGTCCAGTGTTCCATGACTTCTTCAAGAAGTCTCAAACAAAGGGGTTTGTTTTATCACTCAAAACTGTATTCAAGATGTAGGGACATAAAAATAGACTTTTCTCTATATCGATACTGAACAAAAGGTTCAGTGAAGATTTTGGAATTCTAAGAGAAGTCAAATGAGTGAGCACATTATACAAATTATTTTTTTTCCCTCTTTCCTTTGATCATATTTCAAAACGGGATCAAAGTTATTCAGTGCTTTAAACACTGTTCAATGCTTTATACATACATTCTAAACAACAAAGTTGCCAGGAAAAAGCTTTCTTTCTGAGTGACATACACCATCATTCTGAGGTTAGAAGCAGGAAGCAATGATGCCTCCTTAAATTTAAACAACTGCCTAATCACTCTTTTAAATTCTGTTCTCTTGAGGCATGTCCTCCCAAACTGGGATTCATAATACACATTTTGCATGATCCTCCCCCTGTGCCCCAAAACCCAAACTCTAACAGAGAAAAACTTTGAAACTTTCTTTAAACATCAGTTTACCTGACAAGTTTACCAGAAGTGTTCTTGACTGTACCACCTATAATCAACTCCTCCTGCCAATGCATGTATTTTCTTGACAGTCCATAGCATCCACCACTCAAAACAAGGGCTACATCAAGAGGCTGGAAAGTTATAAAGAAGCAGTTAATCAGTTTCATAACTTTAGACAAACTCATACCCTAATTCAGCTCCCAGTGCACTAGAATAATGGATATTGAAGACAATCTAGGAGGGCTACAAAGAGAAATGTGTTCAACAAATCAAGTTGAACAAATCAGCCAGATACTTGTTGACCAGATGGCAATTTCTCCAAAGCCTGATGGGATTGATAAAGGGATATACAAAATTGGGGCCCATGACTTCAAATTCTTCACAAAAATCAACATAACTGGCACTAGTTAAAGGAAGGCTTTGCTGCATGGTGTGAGTGTATAGCGGCAGCTGTATTACAGCAGTGGCTATGTCTGTCTGAGGCATCAGGTTTGCTGAAATGCCACATCACTGCACTGCCACACCCAGCCAGTAGCTGACAACTGTACTCTCACTCTGAATACGCGGGGTTAAGCACTGCATCACAGAATGAAGGAAAGTTCATGGCTGCGGACTAACAGCATATAACAGGAACAGAAAAATGACATCACTCAAGAACATGAACTACATATAGCTTGGAAGAAAATGGTACCTTCTTCTCTCCCCTCTGACCTCCCCCCTACCCCTGCCTCCCTTGAAAAGATATGCACAAGGACAAGCAAACTTACTTTGGTGGAATTTTTATTGGGAGCTGTGATTGGGCAATCGGGATCAGCAGGATTCAGGCAAGGTCGATCCATATAACCATGACCAACCTCCGCTTTATTCAGCATTTCTTCCCAGCTCTCCACTTGGTAGTTTATTTTCTTTAACTCTTCCAAGAATTCTAAGGGGTCAAAGTTGATCCACTGCAAAGGAGGCTTCCCTCTGCAAGAGAAACCAGGAGAAAATGACACACACCCACAAAAGACAAAAGAAGTACCAAAACAAACGTACTTTTAAAATTTGTACTTGCACAAATAATTGAGTTATGTTATGTGACAAGTTAAACCTTTTCTGGTAAGATTGTTTCATAAAATGTAGGCACGTTTTAATTAGATTTGTTTATGTACTTTTCTTGCAGCCCAGTTGTAATTTTAACAAAAATACTCAGTTCTTACAAAGTTATTGTATAAAACGGAATATTCACAGGTTAAAAATACTTCCATTTACAAGCAAAGCAAAACAAATCATCAAGCACCTAAATACAAAAAAGCAGCCAACTGCTGCTTCAAAGAACTGTGGGGGGAGGGGAGAGGGAAAGAAGAGAGGGGGGCTGAGGAACGAAAGCCTTTCTCATAGTATCAGATTACTTCTTGCTAGTCTAATAATCATCTTGCAAATGTAATCAATCAATATAGCTGATCTTTGTTTATCTATAACAATACTGAGCTCCTTCAAATGTTCTGGCAGCTTGACTATCAACCATCAAGCTTTCCTGCTACCATGGCTGTCACCACTATCGCTGTCACGTCTCCCACCCCCCACTTCTGAATTTGTGATGTTGACAGACTAGAAAGGCTTTTGGCTGCCTTATTCTGTGGTTCAAACCACACTGTATCTGCTTAACCAGGCTTAAGTCATTATTCTGAATCTCCCAACCAGAAAACACAAACCCCCTTATTTCCCCATCTAAAACTGTACACTAAAGGTTAAGAGATGGCCATTGCAAATTGCTTTTACAGAGACATGCAAACCAGGACAGAAACAATAACTCAAATGCTAACTCTTGCATAATTAACAGAAAATGCCTGCACAGATTAACAATTAACTCTTTAAAGGATTCAGGGCATATAATATCACACTTGTAAACTGTGAGAAACCACCCATAAAAGATACTATATGGTTTCTTTAACAATCTCATAAGCAAAGGATTTGTTCTTTATTCCTTAGGTGGACTTGAGATTTAACCCAAGACATTTTCTTTGGAATAAAATTCTCAGCCAATCAGTGTTTTTGTATTTTATGAAGAAAAAACAAAGAAACAAACCAACCAACAAACCAACCAGAAACAAGTTTATTTGGGGGGGAGGAGGAGCATAAAATTCTTAAAGCTTGACTTCAGAACTTACATTTTATTTTGCATGCTAGCAGAACAGGAAAAATAACATAGTATTTAAATCAATGCCTACAAATCATCTCTTAGAAACAGGAAAATCTTTGTTCAATGAAAAAAAAATCCATGCATATTTTCTGTAGGGACACTACACTTAACCAGAATATGAATAAAAAATGGGAATGCAACTGAAAAATCATACACAGTTATACAATTAAAATCAGTCAGACCAGAAAGTTATAAAAACCATGCTTACAATAGGTAGGCAGTTCCTGACTGTAGCTTTGCTCCTTCCCAGAAGCAGTCCAAAGGAGTGATAATTAAGCAAGGATAAAGATATTCTATGATCTGCCAAAATCAGAAAGGGGAAAAACACAGTTATACTAGAATATAATCAAAGCAGCATGAGCTGAATCATGAGAACACGTAAATCTTATAACTAAATGCCTACTACATGTACCTGGTCCATGTAACCTGCTTCTGTGATGAGTTCTCCTGATTTATAACACAAATGTTCCAATTTCCACTGTCTGCAAGAAATATAAAGAACAATTTCTTTTTTCTTGCACAATTACTGAAATGTCATTTTTAAAATGTAGCAGACATTTAAAATTGCAACTCATATACACATATTGGCCTCCAGCAGCAAATCATTGAGAAAGGCAAATATTATTCAGCATAGATATACACCACCTCACAAAAAAAGCAAAGGCCTTTCTTTTTGTAGTTACAGACTAGACATTTGTTTCAGTTAGTCTCACAGTCTCTGTAAAACTCATTAAAAATAATGGTGATGCTTTTGGACATACAGGCTAGTCAACGCATGCTGAAGGGACAGAAATCCAGTGACTTAAGATATCACTCAGTGACACAAGTGAGAAGCTAGCTCCAGCTCAGAGGACTAGGATATTCCCAGCTGACCCACACAGGCAGGAGAAAAGAAACCATTAGGATTTCTGCCTTCCTTTTTCAGCTGTGTTACAGCTTCCACTGCCATGACTTCTAATGCCTTAGACGAGGCAGGAGCTGGGTAAAATAATTGGAGCCTCGGCATTAGTTCACTCAGTTGGATGGGCAGAAAAGATGTGCTGGAAGACAGGGGGCTTCATGCCTTGCAGGCAGTACCCCTGGGCACATCATCCTGTGAGTAGTAACCCTGGAGGAACCACTCTTCAGGGAGACATCTCACCAGCCCAAAGCTGGTACCTACCTTTATTATTTTTTTGTTGGACAGCACGCAACTCCCAACCTTCAGTATGTGCACATAGACACTGTGAAGGCCAACTCTGTTATGTCTGTTATATAAATAGCTATTATTCCACCCACTGCCATTTCTCACATCTCTGCATTTCCCTTTATATCCAAACTATTGGAAGGATAGTAACCTGTGCCACTGTTCACAGTCATTATGTACCTCACGACGGCGTCAACTAGTGAACTGAACTCTAATATGGAAAGATTTCCAATGTTAGTAATCCCGTCTATAAGGTCCTGTGTTTAAAAGCACAGACATCACTCCTTTACCAAGACAAATGCTGGATACTGTAGCACTGCTCATAGGGGTACACTCTCAGAATCTCTTCCAACACCACTTACCCCATCTTCTTTGTTAGAAGCCAACTTGTCACTGCTACCATGCTACAACGTCAAGCATCAGAAACCGGTGACATTCAAATCAAAACAGTCCTAAGGGAAAGGCTCTGAAGTGCTAACCATTTATAAATACAGGGAGGGAAGCATGCATCCACTTTTTAGCCCTTAGAGATGATCAGGAAAACTTTTGCTTTTCCCCTTACCTGTTGTACATATAGACATGTACTCTGCTGGCCTGAAGTGCGGAGTCAAGGTGCTGCCGGAGTGCTTCTGTTGTTAGTACATTAGCACCATCTTCCTGTGGAGTCTGGATCATGAGCTGGGGGTTAAACATGGCCTCTTCTCCAATCTTCTGCCGTGTGTAATTTAACTCCCGACTCACACGTCCACCAACTGATGGATAAATATCAACACCTTTGTGTTAGACAGTAACTGCTTATTCTGGGTTCACTTGATGAGCACTCTCTGGTCAGAAAAACTTGACCATGCGCATGGACTATTTTGTCTCAAACTGATCACAGTGTAACTCTGAAACTAATAACTACTTTATTTTAGTAACACTGCAGCAAAAACCATATTCCTCATTAAAATACCATTGCCTCTACTGCACTAAAACATCGATGCATAAACTGGAGCCTCAGTTTATTCTACACTGTAACCAAAATCCCATATGTAACAATTAAAGAAAGAAAGAAAAAAGAAAAACCTTTTCCTTGCAGACCAGACCAAACACTATGTTACAATTTCTCACACTTGCATAAACAGTCTGCACCAAGAACACATTTCAAGATAAATGGCTTTAATTTACACTCTTCTAAATAATTTGGCAAAGGCAGGAGAATGTTTCTCTTCCCTTAAAAAAAGGGAGAAGGGAAAGAGTGAGCGAGCATGAGTGCTCCTTTCAGCCTTAAATAAAAAAGAAAAAATACCAAGTTCACATAAAGAGATGCAGTTTTGAGTGTAGCAGAAAGGACTGTCTACAGCTAATTTATCCCAGTGGTCCAGTACCTGCATAACATGCTGTGATACAGATCATACATGTGCAACATCTGTTTTTAAACCCGCATGAGCTGAACGGTGTGCTCCATATTAAAATATGGTGGGGAAAAAAAAAAGAAAAAAGAAAAAGGTAGAGGGAAACTGCAAAGTCGACAGGCTCTAGAGGGAGCCATATTCAATTTGCCTTGCCAGAAAATATTACGTAAGAATGGAAAATTATCTTCCCTCTTACAAAAAAGCATTCAGCTAGAGTTCATATACTTTATATAACCTCCCCTGTAGTCTCTCTAGCAAACGGCATGTGGGAGGCGGGGTCAATTAATTCAGCCCATTAGCTGAATCAAGACCACATCCAGATGAGAAGGACAAGAATACCACCAACATGTTGTTTCCATCCCTTACAATTTATTACCTTTATTGCTCTGCTAAGTCCAACTTACAGACCTGGTCTAATTTGTTACATTTTTTTCGGTCTTAGTCAGCTTGGCACCAGTGATCTGAATTACTGCCAAAGTTTAGTTCTGCAACAGTGTGAACAGAAATTAGGCATGTACATCTATCTCTTCCTAGGCCATGTAACAGAAGACTGATCTGTAACCAGTTGGCAGTGTGGGAGATGACATTCCTAAGCCTGAACAGGGACACACTTTTTCAATCACTTGGGCCCTCAACCCACCCATAACCCCCCCTGGGGCTAAAAGGACCACCAGGCAAGAAGCTGGGCCCCTGCATGGATAAAGCTGTCAGAATGAGACCCTCTACAATTAAACCATACAGTCACACTGGCACGAAGCATTGCTTAATTTCTAGTTCAAGAATTCTTTGAAGAATTAAGTGTTTCCACAACACGCGCCATTTTTTCAGCCTGTCACATGTGGCATTACCTCCTTCATACCAAGTAACAGCCACCAGCTCACAGTAAGAAAAAAATAAAAATCAAAGTACAACCTCCTTACCTAGAGTTCCTTTATAACTTAACATCCCTCTTACTACAGTGAGAGAACTTACCATCATTGACACTGCATATGCATGGTAACCAAAAGCTATTGTTAATTTTTATCAAGAATTAAACCCTAAAAATACTTCCATTCATCAGGCTCATGTTCATGCTCATTGCCGTCTTTCCCCACCAACCAGTAGCCTATGATACGCTAACAGATTTTGCTTCATCCTACAGGAATGTGGGGTGGGGGTAAGGGAGCAGAGTTATCCTAATCTGTATGTCTTGGAACCAGAGCTTTCTTTTGCAGTCATTTACACTGCAAATACTTCCAAAGACAAATGTCTCTCTCCCTCTTTTGTGTCTCAATGCCAGCCGAGACAATAAAGCCCCAGTTTTATGAGGACTGTGGAGTTTACCATAAACTTCTAGTCCTGGTACTATATTCTCTCCCACCCACACTGTCCTTTTGAATTTAACCAGGACTTGAACCAACAAATCATACTTCATGCAAGACAAAGGGCGGCATTCCTATCTCTGCTGAAAGTGACCAACTGTTTACTATCAACAGACATGATTGCTTCCTAATCAACGTCCTGTCAAACCACATTAACTTCACTGAACAAGGCAGATTTAACTAATCAAAATTGCATCACACAAGTCAGTCATCAGAACAGAAGCTGGTTTTTTTCCCCTTTTAACATTAGAAACAGGAATAGCAAAACCACCCAAGAAGGCAGGCACACGTTCCAGAACCCAGCAGCAGATCTGCTCCGCATTCTTCTTAAGGCATTACACCATTTAATTTATTTCTTTGATGGGTCTGTTACGTACATTTCTTCAGCCAAATAGAGTAAAGATAACTCCACAGGCAAATGTAGATTTATACAACATTAACACTCAGGTACCAAGAAATTATAAATGTAGATTGCAGAGGAAAATTCTGACTGACAAAGTCAGATTATGTGAAAACATACAGACAGACCAGAAGCAAGTGGATACGTCAGTGGCCTTTCAATGTATCAGAAGTAATAAAAAGTGAAGGCAAAAAAAAAAAAAATTTAAAGTTTCTACCAGTTATGGCTTCATTTATTTTAATTGAAAGTTTGCAAAGATCACTGGAGGCTGCCATACCCAGAGATCTTAAGCCTCCTCCACAACCAGCACAATCAGCTGAATGTGCACTTTTTAAAAATCAAGCACTCTTGTCGCCTTCCCCTCCCAGACTATCCACAGCTGGTGCAAAAACCTAGGAGAGAAACCACTAAAAAATGTCACTGAAATGTACCTGAAGCCTCTGGCCTCGTTGTGCTGAGGATACGCAATACTATGCTCAAGACTTGCACACTCTGCAGAAAGTAATTCCTTACACTTGTAAGAAAAAAAAACCAGCCATGCATTACAGTCATCACAGGATTTCCACACTATAAGACAAATGATGTAATGGAAAATATGACCAATGAACAAAATGCTGGTGTTTTGCAGTTTTCCCTTATGGACTCTCTTTTCTTATATTTGGTGACAACAACATTTTACACTCAAAATGCTACTAACTTAAATTGTATGTATGGCATACTGTACCAATACAATTTTATTCCATATCAAAGACAGACAGAACTATTTCACTTTAATATGCCGGTGACAAAATGCACACATCACTCTCCTTTTCTGATACATCAAAAGCCACTTGATGGCATTGGAGTCCTTTATTACATAATTCCTTATGATTTAGTGCCAAGATAGCTGAGTTGGTGGCACAAATTCCCACAAGCCAAAATTCTGATTTAAATAACAGATTGGTACATTGTCTCATGGCTAGTGATAACACAATGCAGCAGTTTGTACACTGTCCTTCCAGCAGTGTCATCAGATTCTGGGTGTCTGCCTACTAGAAATGAGATACTATGCCATCTGTACAATTTAGCTAACAAATTAAAAAAAAGGGAAAAAAAAAATCACAACAAAGCAGTAATGCCAATGTCCTGGCACCACTTCTCACTTAATGTATCAGTTTCTAATTCTCAAGAATGTGTCTGAAGCACAGTGTTGAACATGAGACAGTTTTACTGACAGCATCTTTGTTGCCGAGTATTAGTTCTTGTTAAAAACCTGGTTTTTCCATAGAAGAGCAAAATGTCTTCTCCTCCCCCCCGCCCAACACCCACAGGCTTCCCTCTTAGCTCTCTGCCAGAACACGAGATCTGCCTTGAGCAAGTCAGCATCCCCTACCATGGAACACACTGCTGCTCCTCGTAACTTCCCCACTGACTTGAGCGGAAGCTGGTCAAGGTACTAAATTCTTTGCCCCTTCTGAAGGGACTGAAGAGAGCAGTAATTGTCAGTATGGACGCTGAGTTGCTGAGAACTGTGTAAGGACCACCGTGTCTCCCTCCCCCAAGAGCAATGAACAGCTGTCAGGTGGTAACAAGTTTTAGTCATCCTTAACTTGAGGCAGACCTGAACCCATGACCTATAGGTGAAAGGCTCTAGATCCCATTACCAAGCACTGGGGTCACAGTCCCAGTGTTTCAGTCATCACATATTAAAATGCTTTGGTGCATCTGAAGTGAGAAGCACCCAGAAAAACAAAACTGCTTGCCTCTACTGTACATTTGCACAACACTGATGCACCATAAGAGTGAAACCAAATTTGTTTTCATTGGCACAATTTCTGACAGTTCCTTCGACTGACTTGCTAACAACTTCGAAGTTACTGGGTCATTCAGCTCATGTGCTCATGTCACTGTCCTACCTACACCTTTCTCATGATTAGCATTCAAAATTTATGTGGCATTACATTAACATGCTTGTAAAGAACTCTGGAATCCACCACTTGGAACTGCAGTCCCTTCCACACTGAGTAGTCTCAGGAGTAAGTTTGACCTCTGCTACACTAAGAGATTGACCCTAAATCGAGCAATGAGTGATAGCCAAAAATCACTGCTTGTTAATTTACTGTCTGATTGCTCAAAAGGCATGAAATATTTATTTTTCAGAATATCTTACAATGTTCCATTTCAGGTTACTGGAACTGCGTCACACAGCCTGAGGTTTTGTTATTTTTTTCGGACATGAACACTAGCTCTATTAACCATTCAGTAGTTACCTTGTGCACAACTGTGCGACAAGTAGCTTAGTAGACAGCAAGCTCTCTCTAAAAGAGAAATTCCTGAGAGCCAAACAGTTGGGATGAAAATGTTTGCCTAGCAATGTGGAGGACAGACTTTGAGAAACCAAAGCCAAGACTTCCAGAAATACCTACTGGTTTTGGAGCCTAAGTTCTTCTGTGACAAGCTTGAGGAGCGTGAGCGGAGCAAAATTTTCTGGAGAACCTCCCTTCTGAAGACTATGGGCCTTAAGGTGTTTCCACCTAAGCACTTGCGGGGGGGAGCAGACACATTTCTGCTGTGTTTGAGCAACACCATCTTTTTCATTTTTTTCCAGGACTGTAAAT